ATGGTCACGCGTTACAAACAACGGTCCTGTATACAAACCATTGCGCTGCGCGTGTAAGCTGTGAAGCGATGCTCGCGTGGCGATATTGCGGATTAATCTTACATCTTTTGTTTTCACGGACATCAACAAAACCTCAAGTCCCAAAAGCGCAGCACGAGCAAGAGGAGTTCCGTGCCGAGACGATGACAGCGACTGATCTTTTTCAGAAGGTGCAGATTTGCTTTTTTAAAAATCAGTGTCGCAAATGACCTTCGTATTAATCCAGTGACATTTCACTCACATTTATTTATCGACTGGCCCAAAAATTAAACAAAAAGAGCAATAATGGGGGGAAAAAAGCTATTTAATTATAGATTTGTAGATTAACGTTCAGATTTGTATTAGTCTATGTTGAAGGCACCCCCCCAATCACCAAGTATAAGACAAGACATGCAGTGAATGGCCAATCCCCCCGTTCCCCGACTCCCCCCACACCTGTCATCCCTCTGCAGATTAATTAGCGTAATTACAGTCGGTGTTTCACGTAAAACGTCGCGTGTGTACAAGCGAATCCTCACGCACGGTCCCGTCTGCGGTACATTCTACGCCGCGACACCCAACCACACAGCGAGCGCAATGTACAAAGCTTTGCTGCAATTTGTAGACGACCCCCCACTCCTTCCCAACTAAAAAATAAAGACGACGCACTCAAGAAGAGGCTCGGCGTCAATCCGACACGAGCACACGGGGCTCCGCGAGCTGCAGACCTGGCGACGCTCCCAGTAATCACGGAGCGTTGGGCCAACGTTGAGTGAACGTTGGGTGAACGTTGAGTGAACGTTGAGCCAACGTTGAGTCAAAGTTTCATGTTTACCGGGACACCGCAATGCTTTTTTTTCCTCTTCCAGGCCTACGAATATCCTCAGTTAAAAACACGTGGATTGATCACGCGCTGCACGCGCCCGATGATTACGAGACACGTGTTAACATCGCGTCGATTCATTTGAACGGGCATTCCTCAGCCAATCTTGATCTGAGGCTGTCGTGACTGCAGGAATCCATACTCTTTGGTTCTTTCGGTAAAGTCACGTAGGTATAAAATCAAATAAATCACGACGTTTCGATCGCAACACAAGCGGACGTCCTCAGCAGTTCCACTGCTGGATGATAATTGTTTCCGCCTGAGGACGACCGCTTGCGTTGCGATCAAAACGGCGTGATTTATTGTATTTTCTACCTACGCGACTTTACCGAAAGAACCAAAGAGTATGGATTCCTACAGTCACTTGGAGAGACAAAGCCCCCCCCCCCCCGCGTAGCCTGAACACACCGCTGGGGCAAGCGCCGTGACAGCAAGCATCCGTGAAGGCGCACGAGCGGGGTGGGGTGGTCAACAGCACACCCACACACGCGATCTCTGATCAACTTGAACCGGTACTTTAGCAATCATGAGGCACGTGCAGCGCAGGACGAATCAACTCGTATTCATCGTGGTCTGTCGCGAAGAACTGCAGGTGGGGAAGACCCCTGCCGCGTGATGACGGTGGAATCCCGCGCCCTTCCCCCTCCTTTAAACAAAACAAAACACTGCGAGCAACGCGCATAGCAGCCACTAGGGGGCGCTACTACGCGCAGCTGATATCGATCACCTGCTGGAGGTGAAGGCCCCGGCGCGTCTGGCTTCTTCCCCCCACCTCCTCCTCACACCCCGCGTTGTTTCTGCTGCCGCTAAGTGCCGAGTCCAATGGCCCACCGCGGGCTACCGGGAGTAGCGGGGTGCAACCCGGGGACGGCCCCACCCGATTTGGTGCCATTTAGACGATGATGATCACCCTGCACACAAGCAGCTGTGATGGGCTGCGGATGGGGCTTATGTCGTCGGCTATGCAGACAAATCCACCGTTGTACTAGACTTCTATGCTCCCACAGCTATGCAACGCCCTCGCCCGCTCCCGCCTGCCTGCGCCCGCTTTCACCAACCGGCACTGACCAGCGTGGTGAAGTATGGTCAAACAACCTTCCACTCCCACTATCCGCACACCGCCTGTGTACACATGGCCATCAATGGAGAATTGTGTGAGAGTGTCAAATGAAAAACACATCGAATTTAAATCTGCAACCGCTCTGAAGTCAACGCAATTGGCCACATGGCAAAATCGGTTGCACACTTCATTCTGTTTTGGCCACATTCCACGGCCCAGTTGTGCGCTGGCGCATCTGCGCCCCCCAATCCAAATCGTGCTGCCACACACGGTGCCCCCATCCATGGGTCTCGTGGCGTCTATCGTCTGTAAATCAATTTCGCCACGAGCACAAATTCCGTTACCCCCGTGCTCCCGTGTACAAGATCGCGACCTTAATGGGCTCTCGGCTGGTCTCGAGAGAAATTAACGAGCGAATGATCTTGGCCATGTCCGTATGTGGACGGCCTTGCAAGTGCGCGGTTTTGAGAGATGCGTCGTTTCCTGCAAGAAAAAACAACGCCGTGAATTACCCTATACGTGTTGCCACCGTACTACTGTGATCACAAAATCATTCCATAGATGATACGCACCACAAGCACACATTTACCATGTATATGATAAAGTCTACTAAATAGGGAAAACCCAGACGACGTCATCGCCCCCTGCTGGCAGACTAATGCCCCACTTGCAGCCCCCCCCCCCCCCCCCCCCAGTTGGCTGGGCTGCAGCAGGGCATTGGAATGGTTGAGATGGACATCTAAGGCGCTTCGAGTTACTTGAGGCATATAAGCGCCCTATATATGCAATTTTCTCATCCCATATATGATATTTAACATATATACATTTACCATATATTTTAGGCTGAAACGTCGATAATTAGCATTTCCTAATCGACCGTTGAATCCTCTTAATCCTAATTAACAAGTAATTTTTATTAAGCTCACGTTCAGCCCGCCCACCGGCAACTTGATAACACCGTATACGATAGGTTGGTTAACCGACGGTGAAAATGAACCCCTTTAATATCGTGATTAATCGATTTAAATTAACCCGACGCGACAGCTCTACAGGTGCAAGGGGCACGCACACACATATGCACGGTCTACAACGTGTGCATACACAAGTAGCAGTAGTAGTAGTAATACATTCATGTAATATACACAGGGCTGAGGAGGAGGAGGAGGACAGTATACATGCACCGAGTACAGTGTGTGTACGTTGAACTTCCTTCGCACCGTACGTAGCCAACCACGCTCATTGGAGGTGCGGGCCTGGCGACAGAGCGCCTCGCGCAGAGGGGGGCCTGGGTTCGAAGCCTCACTCGGGCGCCTTAGCGTGCGCGGTTTGTATGGTCTCCCTCTGTCACACGTGGGGTTCTCCAGATTCCCCAGTTTCCTCCCCTTAATTAATATAAAAATAATACACCTTGTAATGGCGTTGGCCGAACATGCCAATGCAGGACCGCTCTTGAAAGGGAGCCCTTCAGACTCGGCGTGGCATTGCCACGTGAGTCATCGGTGTTTACATCGGACCATCTTGACAATTACTCACACCCCTAAAATGTGTATCCTTTCCTCGTTATCTTCGACCGTTTAAAATGACAAAGCGACATTCTGCTCCGCGTGATGCCAGTAAATCGTGCAAAGTTTGCTCAACATCCCATGTTCAGTTTCAATGTCTAACACCCGCCTACGCAGCGCCATCTATTCACACTACACGATGCTCAACCTCCCTAATCGCTCTCTCTAAAACATTCACATCGTGTTAGATTGTCGGCTATTCCGCCAAGTGAATTGGAATTGAATTGGAATTGGGGCACACTATGTTTTTAGGAATCGGATTTTTTTTTAAACGTATAAATGAATCCTCTTTCAGGCCCAATTTGCACAAAAACACGATGCACAATTTCAGTTTTACTTGGAGTGCAACAAATCAGGATCGTGGCAATGCAGGAGTTGTTGTTTTTGTCGTTTAAACATCATAGCGAATGCAGCGCCCTCCAACGCCTGCAGAGGTGACAAGAACCCGTAACATTAGCGCGTGTGTTCATTGAAGAACAGTGGGGATTGTTCTGAGACTGCGAATCGATGTTGATAATTTACGTGAATTAAAGATGCGCTTCTTTTGAGGTCACCGCCGGTAACAATTCACGCTCCCCTCGTCGTACGAAGACCATTGTGATGCATTGTAGCGCCTCTAGTGGTTGACGGATCACACGAAGCCACTGCCAAGCACCACGAACGATACAAAAAAGAACACATCAATGCTCGCAGGTGCGAAGCGCGTATCGCGGGCGCAAATATAGTTTTTTTTTTTACCTGCGAATGACGCAACGTTACACCCCTAGGTGAATCTACTCTCATTAAACTCTATAATATATATTTTTACAATAAAATAAAATAATGTGCATTTCATTTGTGTGTGGCGTTACAGGTCGAACAAAGAACGAGGGGATAAACGGTGGAGATTTAGAAAACAATTCAGAGGCAGGGATTTTCATGAACATTCCGTCCAATGAGTGTGCACGCCAGTTCGCTAACCAACTACGCGTAACAAAGCATAGCCTCTACGTACAACGCTGCAAACCGTCGATGTCAGGATTCCTTTCACGGGCTTACTCGGACTTAGGAAAATGCAAAAGCTTGTTAATATTCAAAGAGCGTTTTCAAACAACTGCAAACGATAAACATTTCGAATCCATTTGGTGAATAATTTAGCAGAAATTGTTTGTTGTTTTTGTCATATACCATCGGAATAAATTTCAATAATTCAGTTTTCCGGTCTGGGTCACTGTAACCCTGTAACCGTAACAGCCAATTCGAAGCTTTTGACTTGTCGAAATAGGCCCGGGCAGCAATAGACCTTGATATCAATGTTCGTGCAATGATTCAGTTGTAACGCGTCTGACAATTGCCGCACACCCTCGGGCACATAATAACCTCTGCACCTCTGGCTGACGAATCAGAAGGATGTCCCCCCCCATCGCCCACCCCCCCCCCATCTCCTACCCCCCCCCATCTCCCCCCCCCCATCTCCCCCCCCCCACATCTCCCCCCCCACAATTTGACACCCGCCCAGATAGGGTCAAGCGAGCTTTCGGCCAGAAAAAAAGTGTAAATTTTGGCAAAACGATTGCGCACGCGACGCACGCAGTGATGTTGGCAATGTGAATGTCAAGGCCACACGGACTGAGCGGCGCCAAAAACACCGATCCTGAAAAACTGGGCGCAGCGCGATCCAAGGAGGGATGTCCTAAACCGGCTTGAACACTGGTCACCACGTGTGCCGGGTCCCCCCCCCCCCCCCCCCCCGCGTGCCCGGTGTGCAGGGACTACCGGTCGCGTACACGCGAGCGTGGGTCGCGGCTCGCACACAAAGCCCAGCGTGTTCATTAAGTCACTGTTAACTAATCACCAAATCCCAACGTCCACCTCTCGTGGTAATCACAAAATCATAACGGACCGTCTGTGTGCACGGAAACCCAGACAAACTCATAACCTTTACATCACCCAACCCGGCATCTAGAGGCAAACAGCTTGTAGAGTTCATCGCGTACAGGACCACTACACGATCGGCATGATTCACAACCGACAAACGAGACGCACGCGGCGGTGGCCGAGCAGCGAGTCGCTACCGCGGCGCTGCGCCGCCCTCATTTATGCTGGCCCTGGGATCCCACCCCGCCGCTACCGCCGCTGCCACCGCCGCTACCGCTGCTGCTGCTGCTGCTACTGCTGCTGGTGGTGCGACCGGTGTGGCGGAAGGAGTGGAACACGCGGATGGCCTTGTGTCCCTGCAACGGAGCGTTGGGGTCTCCCGCGTCGGCCGGAGATTTTCCATTCTGCTGGTAAGGGGTTGGGTGGTGGTGGTGGGTGGTGGTGGTGGACGGATGTGGCAGTGGATGGTGGCAGTTGGTAGGTGGTGACGCAGGTGGTGGTGGTGGCAAGGAGGGATTCGTGGGAGAGAGAGAGAAGGAAGAGAATCAGTGACGCACGAGTCGACCGCCCAGACACTCCCTTGGGTCGTGCAGGGAGCTCTGTGCAGAGAGATTAAAGGTGGTTTGTTTCCGGCTGCAGCCAAGTATCTATTGTCTAGCCGAGAATTTCTCAAACTCCGCTTCTCTTATCCACCGATACAGTCCATGTCTCCATGGGAACGCCACAACACTGCTATGAAACTCACATAATTTCCCTCTCCACCGCCGCTGCCGCGGCACACGCAGCGATAAATGTTGGCCGTGCTGCACTTCAGCGGGGTTACTTTTTAGATTACAATCCTTTGCGTTGTGCTACGTTTGCACCGTCCCGACTGCTCGCGAAGGCTTCGTTTTTGTCACCGTAAATTTTGCCTCCAGGTAATTAAACGCCATGTACATAAACTCAGGACTCCTTTGCAAAAGCCATCACCCACATCTATATAGAAAGGTAATCGACCAAGGTGATGAATCTCCAAGATTGTCTTTAATTGTTTGGTAAACTGTCGGAAGGTATAATGATGCATCGCTTAAAACTGCTCTGGCAACAATTGGGGATTCTTATGTTTTATTTGTGCCCGTTGCACGGAATGGGTTGGCATGACCCCTGCAGACACTTAGCGATACTCTAAACTAAAACTATTTGAATATAAACCATTTTATTTGGCCAGGTAAGGCCCACTGAGCTATGTAGCTTTGATTCAGAAGTGACCTGGTCACAAATGATAGCCCAACGAAGTGGCTTTTCAAGTGGAAATTTATAGCAGCCAAATACTATAAACGCGTGTTGCTAATTATAAATGTGGAGGGACCCGCAGAAAAAATCCACGCGATCACGGGGAGAGCACGCAAACTCCAAATATACAGCAGCAGGCATCAGGGTCGGGAATGCATTAATCCGCTGTTGGAGAGGGGGGGGCAGAATCGTTACACCTGGAGGGGGCCATATAGATGGAACACACTGCAGCAGCAGGGTTCTCGTTGGCAAATCGCATTAAACACGAATGGGAAATTCCTCCGCATCACATTGACAACGCTCCAGCTGGAGCGCTCGCTCGGCACGCCGCACACGGCATGCCACCTGCCCCAGCCTCGCAAACCCCCCACCCCCCGGTGCCACCAAGCGGACGGCGACGAGCCCGGCCCATCGCGGTTACCTGCTGAGCGCCGTCCGCCGGCCCCGCCTGCCGCGGCACGCCAGGGGTCCCTGGGAGCGTGCGCCGAGGGGTGGCCTCCCCCGCCACCGGTGGGGGTCACCGGGGTCACCGGGGTCACAGCATTCGGCGACGTGCCGGGGGGGCCCTGCGCACGGGGAGGGGTCGGGGGGTTTCGGGGAGACGGAAACGGGGAGGGGATGAAGATGGAGAAGGCACGGTGGGGGGGAGGGGGGCATGGCGTTAGCGCTTGGGGGGCGACTGGCAGCGTTGGGCCATCCCAGAAGCGGTTAGTAACTGTGACAAAATCATTTTGTGTTGTGTTAATAAATTAGGATCACACGCGGGGGGGGGGGGGGGGGGGGGGCAAGCAGTGAGGGCATCGTCCCTGCTAGCGCACGGGGTACACGGCACAGTCGCTGTCGTTATGTCCGCCCCAATCGCAGCCACACGCGGGTTACCTGGCTGCTCACTGGCTACTGTAAATCAGAAGCCCATGGACTTGCAGAGAAAACGAAGTTCCATTCTCCACGCAACCAAACACGGGTGCCACGCGCTACTGACACCTAACTGTCTCCTCCCGTCGGTGTGGGATTGCATGGGGTGTTGGCAGCTGCCCCACTGTCTCCTTCGGACAGAGGGGTAGGAGCCACCATGCTTCACAGACCCCACCCCCCATCCCGCCTCTCCCGGCTACTCAACTCGGCTGTTACCGGCCACACGAGCCGCAGCTTCACATCCATTCCGGCGCTCCTAAATCACACCGCGCTGCCCTTGTGGTCACTGCCGGTGAAAAGCGCGCAACTTCCAGATGCGGGCATGAGAAAACGAGCAGCGCGCTGCGTGCCCAGGCCCCCCCCCCCCCTCCCACGCGACCCCGCGTGCATGCGTGCGAGCACAGGAACGAGCGAATGAGCAACATCGCAGAACCCCCCCCCCCCCCCCCCCGTTCGCGTGCGTCGCAGCGAGCGCCAAGCGGACGTGCCGTGTACCCCGAGTCTAACTTCACCCACGGGAGGTGCACACGGGGGGACCGGGACGCATGCAGGCTGTGAGAGCGAGCGCACGCGCGCACGCGCGCACGCGCATGCTGGTGCAGGGATATGCAGGCGAGCGGCTGTGCGTGAAGGGAGACAGAGTTATCAGAGCGGGCATTGCGAAACCCTCGGCACGAGCGGGTCAATTATTTTTTTGCCGGCGTCATCAGCCCCACGGCCTCGCGCAGCGAAAACCTCAAAGGGACGGCCTCAAATGTTCCGCTCCGAGCCTGGCTCGGCATCGGGCAGCGTGACGGGGCAGGTTTGCTCGCGAGGCTTGGTCGCTTGCTCATCTGACGAGGCAATTCAGCGGCAATGCGTCGGTGAAGGGTTCGCAATGCCCGGGGTTACAGAGCGGTTATCGAAACGCGCGGAGACCAACCGAGCACCAAAGCACAAAATCCACCCCAAACGGAAAAAAAAGAGAAGAAAAGAGGGGAGCGGTGCCCAGACCCACAGCGACCAGCGGCGCCAGCCGCCCGTCTAAACACGCACGCGCCTGTGCAATTATGCATGTCGCGAGGTTCGATAATTGTAAAAAATAAATTAAACAAATGCAAGGAAATAAATAAAGGTACTGAGCATGTCACAGCAGATTCCAAACGATGCACATCGAGTCTACGAGCAGGCTGCATGTACATCAGTGCACTGGTGCGTACACGAGCGTACATGCCAGCGATTAAAACTGCGATTTCCATCCTCCTGCACCGGTGGGGATGGAAAGACGCGGGCAGTTCGGGTTAAATGCACAGAGTAAATAATAATAATAATGCTAGCAGAAGGAGTGATAGTTTAGTAATATCAAGGCAAGCTGGGTGCGAGCGGTGTCGCAGGTGAGGTCACAGTTGGCCGCGTCAGCATCTCGCCGGGCGGACCGCCTCGAACCGCTCCGACAGCGCAGAGGCCCAGTCACTCCCCCGAGAGATCGAAGCGGAGAGCACCCAGAGAACTCATCACAGAAGCGGGTCCAGGGAGGGAAGAAGGAATGTTTGTGCGGGCTGATTTGAGAAAAACACAAGGGAACCTGTAGCAACTGATCGGCAGACAGGGATGGCTTTGGTAGCAGGGGTGGTTTGGATTTTACAGATGGTTTTTTTACGCTGGTTTTCAATTTCTCTTCTCGCGGCCGCTCCTCCGTGATCTGCTGTGGTGAAGCCGCAGCCGCCACCGCCGCCGCTTTATCATCGACGGGCGGTGGCGTCTTGGGCACGGAGATCTCCTTAATCGTGGTCTCCAGCTCTCGGATCGTCTCTTCCAAGCTGTCCAGGCTGCGGTAGGTGTTTTGCCGGATCTCCTCCGTGCGCTCAATGCTCATACCTTCTTCTTCTTCTTCACCCTTGCCGCCTCCGCCACCACCCCCGTCGCCACCGTCGCCACCGCCGCCGCCATCATCATCATCACCCGCAACCCCGACCTGAGGGCCCCGCGGTGGAACCGCCGCCGCCGCCGCTTTGGCTACCACCTGCGAACCCCTCTGCTCGGAACCCACCAGAGCCGCCCGAGAGGAGCCGCCCTCGGGCCCCGGCGCCTCCCTGCCCTGGGCGGCGTGCTCGCGATCCGGCCGCTCGTCCCCGTCCGGCACCAGCTCCAGGGTCTTCTTCCCCGAGCGCGTTCCCGAGCGCAGCGCCGAGGTGAGCGCCGCCAGCTGCTTGCGGGGGAAGCGGATGCGGAACTTGGAGGAGGACGTCGTCTTGCCGTCCTTGTCGCCGGCGCCGTGCTTACCCTTGGTCGGCGCCGTGGCGCCCGCCCCCCACCCCCCCCGCGCCCCCCCTCGCCGCGCCGCCTCCGCGTCGTCCCAGGGCGCGGCGCCGCCCGCGTGCTCCTGCGCCGACTCGGGCATCTGGCTGATCTCCACGTCGGAGAACTCCGCCTCCCGCTCGGCGGTGGAGTTGCGCTGGCCGGGCGAGGAGTCGCCCTGGTTCTGCCAGTCCTGCTCCATTCGGTCCAGGTCCGACTCCTCGAAGATGGTGGACAGGCGCTTGTAGGCGGCGCGGATGTCCATGGGCTCGTCGAATATGACGATGATGGGCTGCTTCTTGCTGTGGTACGTCGTCTGGGAGGTCTCGGAGGTCTGGGCCTCGCCGTGCGCGTAGCCGGGGGCCGCCGCGCCGCCGCCCCCCCCTCCCGTCGCCGCGTCCGCGCCGTCGCGCCCCCCCCTGCCGTGGCCCGCGCCGGTGCCCGGCCCCGCCTTGTTGGTCACCATGAGCGAGGTGATCTCGTCGCCGGCACCGCTCACAATCTGGGCGGCCTGCTCGTGCGACATGGCCTGCACGTGGCTCTCGCGGATGAGGAACGCCAGCTTCTCCTTGACGACGCCGTCCGCTCCCTCCTCTTCTCCACCGCTGCCACCGCCGGGAGGCACCGTCTCCGAGGTGATCTCCTCGATGTAGCGGATCGTTATGGTCTTCGGCGCCTGCGCCCCGCGGTCCAGCACGCCGCTCTGCTGGTACACCGTCACCGTGCTCTGCTGGCCGTCACGGGCCGACGATTGCGTGAACGTCTCCCTGGTGGCCCCGGCGGGAAGGCTCGCGCCAACCGGGCCTTGCGGGAAGCCCGGTTCCGAAGCCGCCACGATGGCGCCGGCGCCCTCCCGTGCCGCGCCGTTCCCGGCGGACGTCCCCCCTCCGCTGGCCAGCGGGACCGCCGACGCGTCCTCGGCCGTGGCGCGAGGCTCCGCCGGCGGCCTTCCCGCCGGCTCGTCCATCTGCGTTTGGATTTGTGGGGAGAAGGTGACGCTTCGTTTGGCGGCGGCCAGGCCTTCCGAGGGATGCGCCCTGCGCTTGCGGCCCTCTTCGGGCTGTTCGGAGCCACTCGGCGGACGGGCGGGCCGCTCGTGCGGGCCCGACCCTGTGACCTCCGCAGAGCCGGGCAGCTCGGGTGAGCGCTCGTAATACACGATGGTGCACGCATCATCCTGGCTCTCGCCGGGCGCTTGCGGGAAAGTGAATTTGCAAGAGTGAACCTGCGACAGGAGAGAGAGAGAGAAGAAGAGAAAGAGTTGAAGTTAAAAGGAAACTAAAATGAATGCACATTAATAAAAATGTTAACGCTTAAATAATGTATTAGAAAAAAAGACGTTAGGAGTCACGCATTTCATATTATATTTCACCAGACGTTACTAATAAGCCAAGAGAGTAATAATAGTTTTTTTCCCCCCCATGAAATTGAAACGTTACTGATGTTTGTTATAATTGCAATTATTCATGCCCTCGTCGAAAGAAAGAAAAAAGAGAAAACCCCCACCAGTGCGGTTTTGTTAAGGGCGAATTGAATGGGTGCGTTAACTCGAATTAATGCTCTGAATAACGGCACTTTATAACCGACTGCTCGAGAGAAAGGCACCGTCGGGCGGGCGGGCGTGCCGCAGCAGTAACCTGCACCAGCGGAGGCTCCCAGATCCATCATTCTGATGAGCAATATCATCCCGCCAATACATTCCGTGACGGCACATTCACCACGGCTACATTACCGTTAAAAATTAATAACGCCCGTGCATTTACTCCGTCGGGTGCGCGCGTGTGCGATGTCATCGCCTGCGAGAGGGAGCGAGCGCGCGACCCTCTGTGTGTGTGCGTGTGTGAACGAACGGGGCAGCAGAGCGCGGTGCGTGCGTGCAAACAAGCGGCAGGCAAGGGAAGCCACCCGTGGGTCCAAATTACCAGCAAATTACTCCGGTGGTAAGACACACGGCATCGTCGCTCCCCGTTGCAAAAACTTAGCAGGGCCTTCCTACAAAAAGTGACCAGAGACCCAGTGAGGCTTTCCTGAGTAAGCAGATGAAATGCACGAAATGTATTGTGCGTGTGTGCGCGCATGCAGAGAGGTTAGCGGAGCGGTGGGACAGCGGTTAGCGCACTGCACTACAAACCCCATGACTTGAGTCCAATTCCCGTTCACGGCCAACACCGATGATGGTTATCTGAATTGGTCCTGGCCCTCCCCTAGGTCGACTCAGAATTAAATAACTACCTAGCGTGATGTATAAACATCACCACTGGGGGAGACAAAGGCTGCCGTGCGTGGTGCTGGGCACCCACTCCCTCGTGTGACGTGCCAGCCTTCATTGGCGCCGCTCGCTAACAGCACTTGCCCCAACAGTCTGTTAAAGGCTACACGGGGGATCTGTGTCTTTGCAGGGAGGTTGAGAAGTGCTCAATGCTGCACAGCCACACCTGCGGTGAAGTTGACGTCAAAGTGCCTGTGAAGCCAAGGTCTCCGATGAATAGCCGAGACTAAACTGACAAGCGGCGAACGCCTACGCGCGATCGAGCTCTTTGGAGTCGAGCGTTGGCGGATCACTCCGACGAGCGGAGCTCGCATTATTCACCTCGAGTGCATTGGCTTTCTCTGGGTTTTACAAAGCGAATTGGCAGGGGAGCGAGAGAGTGAGTGGACAGGGCGTGCGGGTGTTCACATGCTTGTGCGTTTGTGTACACGTGTCCGTGCATGTGTATGTACGTACATGTCTGCGTACATGCGTGTGCATGCACACGTTTGTTTATGCGCGTCTGAGCATGCGTATGTGTGTGCGCATGCGTGCATGTATGTACGTGCGCATCCGTGCGTGTCCATGCATGCGTACGTCCACGAGTGTCTGTGCGTGCATGCGAACGTGCGTGTGCTCGTACGTCCGTGCATGCATCCATGCGTGCCTGTGTACGTGCACGAGTGTCCGTGCGTGCGTGTGTGCGTGCGTGCGCCCACCATCATCTCTTCCCCTGTGGGAGAAATGACTCTGAGATCCTCGCTGCACGGCAGCCCTGGGCCGCCGCCGATCCCCCGGCAAGCGTCGGCGCCCTGAAGTCGCATAAACCCCGGCAGAGACGTCAACACCACAGTGCAGCTCCCCCCCCCAGACACCCCCCCAACAAAAACCAGCAAGGGCATCGCTACGAAAAACGCCGTGGACAAAACTAACGGGGGGACTTGCTTGTGCGTGGCTGTGTGTGTATGTGGCTGTGTGTGTGTGGCTGCGTGTGTGTGGCTGTGTGTGTGTGTGGCTGTGTGTGTGTGTGGCTGTGTGTGTGTGGCTGTGTGTGTGTGTGCGTGGCTGCTTGTGGCTGCGTGTGTGTGTGTGGCTGTGTGTGTGTGTGGCTGTGTGTGCGTGGCTACTTGCCGTTGTTGTTGGGTCGGCGGGAAGTGAGAAAAAAAAGAGAAGCAAAACGAGGAATGAAATTATAAAACGCGCGTTCAAACAAGTTGGCCTCCTGGGTAGGGAGATGGTTTTGCTCATCGAGGCAAGAACAGAAACAAATTAATTATTTTTAAAAACGAAGGGGTGCCTTGACTTAATAAATTATGGGGGGGGGGGGGGGGGCGGGAAGGCAAAATTATATAGTTAGAATTCATAGCAGAGATATGGTAACTAGTTATAAGTAACTAAATAGCAAATATGTGTATAGAGAGAGAGAGAGACAGCATGGGGCAGAGAAACGCAAAGATAAATAAAAAGTTAAGCCTCTCATCATGAATCGGCGCCCTGACATTTCCATGCCCGTGGGTCGCAGTGAGTGTCACATCGGCTGTGCGTGTGTTTGTGTGCGTGCGTGTGTGCGTGCGTGCGTCCTTGGTACCACGGAAAGGACAGATGGGTGACCGAGCAAATGCAGTGAGCGGACAAGACAACTGGCGATCTGGCGATGGTGGCGGCGGACGGTTTCATGCAGGCAGGGAGTCGCGGGGGTGGTGTGGTGGTGGGGTGGGGGGCAGCTTTTGTTGGATGCAACGACGACGGGGGAGGCTGCTGCTGCTGCTGGCACAGGCGGGGGGTGGAGCATGCGATGGGCGCGGCGGCGGCGACACCCCGGGGGGACCCTCTGCGTCTCCTCGCGACGACGGCATCTCTGGGGGGTGCTGTGATCGCGTCGCGGGCCTCTGACGGAGCCCTCTCGGCGTGCGGCCGACGGCGCTCCCGGGTGGTGCTGCCCCCCCCCCCGCGCCGCTGCCACCACCGAGAGGGCGATCGATCTCCGATCGGCGTCTCGTCGATGGGCCGCGTCTCGCTGAAAGCTCAATGGAGTCGAAGCCGGCCCATGGTCGCGAAGATTAAACAAAAGCCACTGGGAGGGGTTGATCTGGAAGGCCTCTCTAATTCGATCGACTCAATGATTTTGTTCGTATGATTAAATAAAACGGTTTCTTCACAGGTATATACTTAGACAAGTATCAATGATATAGAGGCAAGGATGCTGAAATGTGGTATAAATATTGTCTCGTCAATGCTTATTGTGGCATAATCCGAAAACATAAATTTCGGCCCCAAAAATTACAGGCCAGAAGTTGATTAATTAGTTTCACTCGTAGGGTTAGGGTCGGCCTAAAGAATGCTGGTTTAATATTTACGCTAAATGATGACATCATCAGTGAACCAAGTAATGTGCCTCCCAGAGAGTGTGCTGCTGCAGAAAGACACTACACTCCCATACATACACACGCACGCACGTGTATGACCAAATCATTTTAGTAGCTAAGCAGGCTTTGGCCTGGCTTGTTCTTGGAGGGGTGACTACAGGAGCTTGCGAGGTGTTGTGGGCCGAGCATCTTCAAGATGCCCACGAGATGGCAGCGTTGAATGTTCACCCCGAGGATGTGGAATTTATCCGCGTTCTCCCAAATTGAAGCCAAACATCCCAATGTAGCAGGCACCTCATGAAAAACGTTCTTGAGGCTCAGTGAGACTTTGTAAAGTGAATATTTAGTGTAACTATTAGTACGCTATTATTATTATATTCTGTACACACACGTGCCCTAAGAGAGCTGGTTGAAGTGTCGCCCCTTGAGTCACCAGATGCGGCATTGTGGGTTTGCATCATGGCGGAATGGAGATTTCCATGCGGATGCAGCGATGGCAGCGGCAATGTACGGACAGCGTGACGCCGCACGAATGGCATGGCGTCGCACGCACGCACGACCGATACGACAAACGTCAAAAAACCGACGATGAAGGCGAGAAGGGGGGGGGGGGGTGGCAGCGCACGGAGCGATGGGGCATGGGACAGAGGTGAGGGTTTTGTCCATCTGCGAAACGGAGCCAACTTGCCTCCTCGTCTATAAAGAGGTGGGCTGCGGCCCGGTCCCAGGGCTCAGTGAGCGTACAGTAAAAGTAAGGGACGTAGTAGGATTGCTGGAGGTAGGACTGTGCACACGCGCGCACAGATAAACACACGCATACAGACAGACACGCACGGGCAAACACGCGCATCCGCAGAGAAAGACAGCACAGTGTAAAGGAGAGCAAAGATGGCTTTGCATAGGTACAGGAATTTTGCACAACATCGGCATAAACCAGAAATAGGCAGAGATACGGTTACAGTCCCCTTGCTCGAGTGTATCTCTGTGTGTGTGTACACACGTGTGCGTGTTATGGCGCTGTGTGGATCGGTCCTGGGCCTCCCACAAGGTTGACTCAGCCTTAAAATGAGTACCTGTAAGAGAGTGTGTCAATTTCAGCAATGGGAAGACAAAGGTGGGCGGGCGGGAGTGGTCCTGGCCATACCACCCACCATGTGGACCGTGCCAGCCCGAGTAGGAGCTCGCTAATAGAACCTTGCCCCGACAGTCTGTGCAAGGCTTTATGGGGGATCTTTGTATGTGTACGTGCGCGCGATTTTACGACGCGTCGCATTCTCCCGTGGAATATGAATGTGGGGCATTGTAGGAGATCGCGGCGGCGGGTCGAAACGCCAGAGCAGCGGCAAAAGCAGGGGTGCGCACAATCGACGCACTAAGTGCCGGTAGGGAGGGAGGCGGGCAGCAATCGCGGGGAGCGAGCGGGGTCCTGCAAGAGCGGGAGGGAAGACGACGCAGCTAGGTACTCAATAATAGGAGCCGAGGTCGTTCACGCGGACACGAAGCCGTTAAGAGATTCGCCAACAAATGCCATACGGGTAATAGAGGACTGAAGCTTATTAAAGTTATGCCGAAGCAATGGTAACTGCAGTAATTGAAAACGAATTTAGAAGTGTTTTTTTTGTGTAAGCAAACATATTATTCTTTGTTTCTTTCAGTTCAGTCACGTAGATAGAAAAATAATAATAAAATAAAGTGAATAAAAATAATCAAAATAATGAAAAACAAAAATCACTAATGTCGACTGTAGCCTGGTTCTTAATCGGAGTGAGTGTATTGGCAGTCTATAATGTAGACTGTAGCCTGGTTATTAAGTTTAGTTAGTGTACTGGCAGTCTATAATGTAGACTGTAGCCTGGTTCTTAATCGGAGTAAGTGTACTGGCAGTCTATACTGTAGACTGTAGCCTGGTTATTAAGTTTAGTGAGAGTATTGGCAGTCTATAATGTAGACTGTAGCCTGGTTATTAAGTTTAGTGAGTGTACTGGCAATCCATAATGTCGACTGTTGCCTGGTTATTAAGTTTAGTGAGTGTACTGGCAGTCTATAATGTAGACTGTAGCCTGGTTATTAAGTTTAGTGAGCGTACTGGCAGTCTATAATGTAGACTGTAGCCTGGTTATTAAGTTTAGTGAGCATACTGGCAGTCTATAATGTAGACTGTAGCCTGGTTCTTAACCTGAGTGAGCGTACTGGCAGTCTATAATGTAGACGTATTATTGGTTCTTTCAGTAATACAAAATCAAAACAAAAACCACAATGTTTTGATCGCAACACAAGCGGTCGTCATCAGAAAAAAAAACCCACTTGTGCTGCGATCGAAACGTCATGGTTTTGGTTTTTATTTTATTACTGAAAGAACCAATAATCATCTTGACTTGTTATGTTTTGTTATTTTCTTTCCACCTATCTACGTGACTTTACCGAAAGACCCAAAAAATATGAAAACCAATAATAAGTCTGCCAGTATGCCTACCGAGGTTAAGAACCAGGCTACAGTCTACATTATAGACCACCAGTACACTCACCAAACTTAATAACCAGGCTACAGTCTACATTACAGATTGCCAGTACGCTCACTCTGCTTAAGAACCAGGCTACAGTCAATATTAGTGTTTTTTTATTATAATTTTTATTATAAAAATTGTATTCACTTAATTTTGTGTTATAATTTTTCTATCTAAGTGACATTACCGAAAGACCCAAAGAATATTAATTCCTGCAGTCACGAAAGCTTAAAGTCAAGATTTAAGTCAATATTTAATGTATATACTGTCGGAAACTGATTGGTCCACACCATCAGTTTCAAAGACAATGCATATACTGTCAGAGCATGTTTTGTGTTTGTATTTCCACCACAAGTGCACGTGGTTAATGCAGACATGCTTCCTTGCAAAAGGTTTCCGTTTGGTGTTTTAACATCTAAACACCTGTTTTGTTGCCAGAAAAAAGGGGAAAAGCTATTCTTATATTGTGACACTGGCAAAGGATGTCCCCTGACGAGAAGCCATTATTAACTCAATTAGTAATTTTAAATGAGCTGGTGTGATGATGACCTTACGTTACATTACTCCTCTTCGCGCACTCTGGAGCACAAGTCCACAAAAATCCCACGCCATGCCGGACGGTCTCTAGCAGCTGGTGATGATGACCTGCTCTGTCGAAATTTACATGAGCCTCAGAACTCAAGTCCACATTCCAGTTGCGCTCCAGGCACCGCGTTTCCATATTCGCTAGTCAACTCAAGTTGGCTGCCGTCCCAGGAAACATGCAACGACGTTGGCACGTGGTTGGAGCGTTGGCCCAACGATCCGTGTTTAATGGGGATTCTGGGCTGGAGGCCGAATTGTCTGGGCAAAATTGACACCCTCGGCGGAGTGTCCTGGATTCCCTCCATCAGGAACCGGCTTGGGCATGCGCCGCCAAACATGCCAAGAAAACAAACCGTTGGAGGTGGCGCAATCACTCAATTTTACGTTTGATTTGACATTCAGCGAATTCGTATTTCGTTTTTTTTATTCTCCTTGCAATGCAGCCTTGACCTTATAAGCAGGAGCATTTCTGAGGAGGTTTCTTGCTTGAAAGCGTTTCTGGTAAAGACGTGCCCAATTCCTGTGATAACTGGGGTCACTAGGAAAATCACGGAAACTCCACTTTCTCTAACTAAAATTAATTGTCCTTCAAATTGGTTTCATCAACTGGAGGTGATTAACTGGGACTCTGGGAGGAATCAGACGCAAGTGCGCTCAAGTGTCTCCTTGAGTTGCCTGTCCGTGGAAAGTGAAGGATGGGAGTGGCTGTGCGTAATCACACGGGGAGTAGACGACTCGTGGTCCATAGATTCCTTAATTTTTTTTCACTAGATGAAAACGCAAGTGACTAGGATAGTCTAATTTGCAAGAGTGAGTGAATGAGTGAGTAGGTGTTCGAGATGGTGAGTGAGATGTTTGGTGAGATGGTAAATTATTGAGTGAGATGATGAGTGACTTTGTGAATTTAAATTTTCTTTAACCAGGTAAGAATTCACAAGCCCGGGGATGAGTAATTTGCAAGAGTCACTTGGGGGTCAGCAAAATGGCAAATGCAATGATGTAAAAGCATTTTCTATTCCTTGAGTGTAAATCATGGCCGAGTGAAGTGGCTGTCAATCTTCCGAGTGGTTTGTTCTGTGCCGTGTCCGCAACCGAGAGGCGTGTGAAATGCACACACGACTAGCTCTGCCGCCACTTGACACTTCACCCACTCATCCAATCAGCCACAATTGTATTTGACCCACTTGAAGATGGCTGTACGCTTGTTGTTAGAGCTTTCATAATAAAACATTAATTACTTAGATAGTGATGATGATCATTTGCATGAATATTCAGTTGTCTGCCAGTGTTAAGGGCCCACATCTAAAATCCAATCATCCTTTTTACCCAGGAATGCCTCACCGAGTCTCAAGACTGCTTTCAAGAGGGTCCTGCCAGGTTTTCTGCAGCCATGGGGGTGGGGGGGGGGGGGGGGGGAAGAGCGACAAACCTGAGCCATCTGCAGGGAATCTTTCAGCATTGGGATGTTCGGCCGAGACCAATTACAATTCCCTGTATTAAACCAATATCCCAGGTCTCCGTTGTACAGGAGCTACTGAATCTCAATAGGTGCTTGCCCCATTAAATGAAGGGCAATGCTTAGTTGGCTCATGCGCGTTATCTCGTAGACTCTGGGGAGCGTGCAAAAGGGCTGCACTTTCTTCGAAAAAAAGAAAGAAAAAAAAACAGCTTGGAGTGGATTTTTTAAGGAAGGATGATTACATACTCTATAAATATTTAAGTGGATGGCCGTGATATGAGAAAACTGGAGGAGGCGTGGAGAGTGCAGAGTGGAGATTGTGCCCCCCAGAAGTGGAGGTGTGGGGGGGCGAGGGGGGGTGGGTTAGTGGGTTGTGACTGCGCGGACAGCGGGCGCCCGCACGAGAGACGGGCGCAAGCGTAATGAGTTTGCACCGCAATAACCTGACACTGCCATTAACGGCACCCGCTCGGCCTGGCTTCATTAAATTGACTTGGCGCTTTGTGACCGTGCAATAATGAGTGGAGGTGGGGGAGGGGGCAGGGGGCCTCCCCCCCGCCGCCCCCCCCACACTCCACCTCCTCCCCCTGAGCGGACGGTGCAAGTGTAAGGCTGCCCCGGGTAAACATCGCCTAATTAGTGCCGTGTCAGGGGCCGCCGTGAGGTTGCCACATACGCCCAATTTAGCGAGGGATGAATCGCGCTGCCGGGACCGAGCGTGCCCAGGTCGGGAACTGCCGCCCGAGACAGACGATTTCATTCATCGCATTTCATTATAATATATTTTTTTGGGACATGCACATTTCCACGGCCGATGAGGGCGGTGATGACGATTCATTCCAGTTATTTATCGCTGCATTAAACGATTTTCCACAGTCCCAACGTGTTTTATTCAAGCGACGCATCAACGTTTTCTTCATTTACCTTGGTGTCTATGCATGCCATCTGTGTTCATATGTCACAGCACTGCTGGGATGTAATGAAGAATCAAGAGGAACTGGCACGCCATTGTTAAATCGAAGTTGCCTTGTGTCTGCGTTTAACAGTGCTTCGTGATATCTATCGCGATGGACTGTGGGTCTCCCACCCAGGAAACATGCCAATTTCCAGCCAACATTTCGATTTAAAGCTTTCGTGCATTGCAGGGATTCATCTTCTTGGTTCTTTCGGTAAAGTCACGTGACTTTACCGAAAGAACCAAGAAGATGAATTCCAGCCAACACTTGGCATTCGGTTGGAACTGTTAGATCGACGTTGGCCCAACGTTGACCCAACATTCGGCTAATCTTGATTCAACGTCAGGCCAACATCAGCCCAATCTCTTGACCTGTGCATTCAGCACCACCGAGTTCCAACGTGTGGTTGTGCGGCCACGACGCACAAACACACTCGGGGGGGAGGGGTCCTCCTGGCGTGCGCGTGAACCGCTCATTAGGGCTTCCTGCCGGACGATAATTTTGCATCCAGTTCGGCTCTCGTTCTGCCAGCTCGCGGTCGGACCCGGTCGCCCGGCAAATATTTGGCGAGAAATGGAGCTGTGCCGTGAGCCTAGTGTCCCTCGTGCCTCTTAGCCGGCTTCTAATTTCTGCTCGGAAACCACGTCACGGCCACCACCGCCTCACCCCATCGCCACCAACTGTGAGTGCGACGCCTGCAACGGGCCACATAGGATGCATCACTGTCGATGGCGGCTGTAACGTGGCTACACAAAGAAGTTAATGAGGTAGCCGTCTAAACGAGGGTGTCCTTAGTTTAACGATTCACCCTGCGCCCCCCCCCCCCCACATCATACATCCCCCCTCTCCATTATTTTGTAAACAGTCACGATTTGGGATCACAATTTGATTCGAGAATTGTTGTTCTTGCGCTAGTGGCTACACGAGTCGTCAATTATATACTACACATCACGATCAGCCACGGTTTATCCACTGCTGGATGAAGGCCTTCCGCAAGGTGTCAAGACCTTTCAGTAGGGGCGGGTCAGAAAGTTACAACAACAAACAATACAACACATCATGGGAAAACCTATTCACAAACAATACAAACATCGCTGAGTCTCGAGCAACGGCCGTCGTCCCCTCCTCGCGGCCTAACGGCAGGCTTCGCCTTCCGCTCGTCAAGAGGCATGGGTGTGCCGGCCTACATCTCCCTGGGCCCTGCGGTGCGAACACTGGTGCCAGGATGGCGCCAGCGTGGTGCCAGCCTGGTGCCAGCGTGGTGCCAGCGTGGTGCCCCCTACCCCGTCCTCACCGTGCTGTCCGTCAACACCTCCCTCTCGGCGCCAATGTCGAACACCTCGCACGCCTCGGCCGCCATCGCCACCGTGTCCACGCTTAGCCGCACCGGAGCCGGGCTCCGCTGGAATGCCTGTGGGTCAGGGGGGGTGGTGGGCGCGGGTGGGGGTGGGTGAGGGCGAGCCATGGAGTGTAGATGCGGGAATGCATGGGCATATGGATTAGCAAGGTCATGGTTTGGTTAGCAGAATTGGTGAGATCAAGTGTGATGGGTGGGATCATCCCACTGGGCGTGGGGGTGGTGGTGGTGTACAGCTATGATCCAGCGCTTTGGAGGCGAGGGTTTGTGGATCGTGTGAATATTTGTTAAACTCCCAAACACTCTGTGAATCGAGCTGGGCTGGTCCATGCACCAGGCGTGCAGAAAGCAGCACGGTCGTAGACCGTGATGAGGCCGCACGGGTCGGATAGCGGCTCTGCCTGGGAGGGTGCTCCTCAGCCACCAGGGCCAGGTAAGCTCCTTTTAGTGCTCTTTGAGCCTCCAAGTCGTGGACAACCCTTGATCATTTTTACCAGTTTCAACATTGTGTGCCCCTAAGAGCAACGCAACTTTATCCGATATTTTCACTTGTATTGAATAGTCTATATTGAAGTTTATCACACGCTCCGGATGGACAGACAAAGCTCACACATAAATCCTTTCCACCCTAGTTGCAAAACATTAAAAGCTTGGCTACGTGCCGAATACATTGCCCGTTATATATTTTAGTTTTTAAGGCCTCAAGTGTTATTGATGAATCTTGTTGGGATTTGTTTTATTAACCGTGCCTGCGTGCCCACTGCCAACGCAGCAGCATCACCAAAACATGTATCCAAAGGCTCGTACGACTACTGACATGAACGTTTGGCGATGACGATTGCGATGGGGGTCCTCACCTGCAGCTCGGCGAGGATGCGGTCCTCCTCCTCCTCTTCGTCATCCTCGCTGTCGAACTCAGACGCCACCACGGGGGGCCTGGGCGTGCGGTTCACGCTGGGGGGCAGGGAAGACGACGGCGGAGTGGGGGGCACTAACCTGGACACTTCCGCTACACTTGCGTTGGCCTCCGCGTCAGACTTCTGTGCCGGCGAGTGAGTGCGTAGAGAGGAATTGGATGGGGCCAAGAGATACCGCACGGATGCACGAACCCACGGGCAGACATACACACAGGCAGAAAGAGAGAAACAGGAAGGTAAGGAAACAGAGGAACAGACAGAGCACCAAAGACAGATAGAAGGGTAAAGAACCACTTATCATCATCATCATTGTGATACAATCACAACTTGTGCAGGGATACTAAGGCTCATATTATGGGTAATTCATGTAACTTTGTCTTTGGTCATGCATGTAATGTCAGCCTGTTGTACGTAACTCTAAAGCAGGGCAAAAGCCATAAGCATTGGTTTATCATAATTAGTCTGTAATTAGGCGGTGTGTGGCTGCCGATGAGGTGTTCTCAGGATGGCGAGCCATGCGATTCCTTTCAGAAGCTCTGGCCCAAGCGGAGCGCGGTATCGCAGGCCACTACATGAGCCGGCGCAGGGCTGACGAGCACCAGGGGGAGGAACAATCTGGCGGGCGGCGTTGGGAAATGCAGTCAACCTGCAAATTTGTCCACGATTTTGGCAGGCAATGTCCCGTGCTAGCGGGCACCATCCTCAGAGTGTTTTACAGCCAAATAAATTGCACATTGGATGTGTGCTTTGACGAGCAATGCCCGTGATTTGTCTTGTTTACAAACAAAATCAAAATCATGCAAGGAGGTTGGGGAGGGGGAGACTGAGGCTCGATTGCCAACCCAGAATTTGGAAACAGAGCTTGGGAGCAGCCCAAGCAAAGCGCGAAACCACAGAATGCTAGAACAATCGCGCAGCGAGCCACGGTTATTTTGCTAAACAAGTAACGAGCTGTGGGTAATGGTCGTCAGAACGCGATGCTGCGGCAAAAGCCACGTGCCGATTCCTCCAGAGACAGGGACGAGCTGTGATGAAACGGAGGGACGATGCTGGGATGGAGGGGGAGGTGGAGCAGGAGGAAGAGAAGGAGTGGGAGGAGGAGGGGGCGGGAGCTAATTTAAAATGGAAGCTAATAAAATGTGAATGTATGCCCTACACACCAAGGAGTAGGTCGTCTATTTTAGGAATTATTCAGTGAACGCTTCTCACGCTCGTTAGAAGGGTCACAGAAGGGGCAGGAGACAAAGATAACTACGATTTGCACGACCACAGCAGATGTGCCATTTGCCCGACTGTCCCATAACCAATTGCTAAACCTCCAAGTTCCGGAAAACAGAGAGTGGTGTGGCGAGGATTTCGCGGACGCGATTTTAACTACAAACCAATTTTTTTTTATTTTACCAGGTAAGGCTCACTGAGCTGCTGTGTAGCTCTTGTTTAGAAGCGACCACCTGGCTATCGTAAATGACAGCTGAACAAAGTGGCTTATCGCATGTACATTTATACTCTGAGCGCACGATGTGGATTCTGAATGTGCAGGGAAAAACCGGAGGAGCCCGGAGAAAAATCCACGCGACCACGGGAAGGATATGCAAACACGCGAGCGTGCGCGTTTTGTGTAAACGCCCGCGCGAGGAAAAAAAAACTCGAGCAGGAGGGAGCGTTCGCGCGAGCCTCCGCTGATGACGTCTCCCTCTGGTTGTGCGCAGCAGCTCCCCACTAAAGCGCCCTCCTCCTCCTCCTTCTCATCCTCGCTGTGAGGCACACTCTGGGATGCTCAAATTACGTGCCCCGCCGTGATAAATTTACCCACTCAGGGCGGTGAGCCTCTACCGCTCACCACTATACATGCAAAGAGCTAATTAATTGGCCGGGTAATGGATTGACGGGCACTTTATCAAAACGTTTAAAAAATTCTCCATAGTTCAGATGCGCATATTTAGTGGTTCATTACTGTTCGAGTTTTCATCTGCACGGACCCCCTAATGGAAGGGGGCAGCTGTGTGAGCCGAGGCACACGCGTGACGCATGCACGCTACACGCACACGTGACATGCACGCACGACACGCACATAAGGGGAGTCCGATGCGTGTCTCAGGTCAGCAGATTCTAAGCCCAATGTGCTAACCACTGTGCCACCGCTCCACTCAGCATCAGTCTTAACCTTTTCACATTCCAATGATGAACGTTGTTGTTTTTTTTAAGAATACCAAAATAAAATAACTTTATCTGTACCGAAGCTCCCACAAAGCCGTGTGGCACAATTTAGCGCCATCCATCGTAGAGTGAGGTCGTGTCGCTACGGTTCTCTGCGGTGAGTACAACGTCTTTAAAAACAGCGGCGCTACTATGCCTCTAAATAGAAATGTACTCTGAGCCTGCTTGCGGGTACCGAGATGCAGCGGTGAACGGGACACCACCCACCCTGCAACTTGCAGAAGTCGCCTCGGAACGGGAAAGGGTTAAGAGATGCAGTTCCAAGCACGCTAAGAGGAGGATGTGCACGCACGCGCCTTGCGATGCACGACAGGAACGCGTGGATCGGCGAAACAAACACAAATCGAAGAGATCACATTGGCGACAGAGAAGGCCAGTAAATGGGCTCGGGCAGGATACATTGCCGGGAGGGACGATGGCCGCCGACCGGCAAGGCTGGTGCCGGAATGGCAGCCATATAGAGGGAGAGAGAGCATCTCAGGAGGATGATAAGCACAGAGATGCAGCGATGAAATCCATTCACGTGCCGGAGTGCGATGGACGGTAGCGGCACTGGACCACGAGAGGTTGTGACGGCACGCGGAGGCCTTCATCCAGCAGCGGATAGGACAATGGCTGACGATTAATCCCAAATGTACCACGGTTACGTGCATGCGTGTGCGTGCGTGTGCGAGCGCGCGACATTTACCCACGCGACTACAAAGGCGACCCGGGACAGTCCCGTGCCCATTATGGATTTGCGAACGTCCCCTTTGATTATCCCTAACGAGCCTCGGCACTGACAAGGGTCGGAAGCGCTTCAATTGAATTGCGGAGTGCTCCTGTATGCGATGAGCACAGCCCCCCACCACCCCCCATGCCCGCCCCACGCCCGCACCTGGAGCAGTGGGGGGCTTCAAAGCGGCCCCCGAGTGGGCCCCACTCTGACAATCAAAGTCGCTTGTGAGCACTGCGAGGTTGCCGGCGGATAATGTCCATCGCATCAAACGGTGGATCGAGTGGAGTGGACCGAGCGGAGTGGACCGTGCGGAACGGATCAGGCGGAACGGATCCAGTGGAGCGGACCGAGCAGAGTGGATTGAGGGGACGGATCCAGCGAATCGGATCGAGTGAAGTGAACCAAGCAAAGCAGATCGAGCGGAGCCGACTGAGCGGAGCGGACAGGAGATGATCGGATTATTTATTATTAGTTAAATCCTGCTGCTGCTGTTGTTGTTGGTGCGGCTGTGCTTGCAATAATGTAACCATTCATTAAACTTGATTCTTATGATTACCGTGCATGCAGTGAAAAAAAAATGGGTCTTGAGACTGAGTGTAAACAAAAGTAAAAATGGAAGTGGGGCAGCCCTGCAATTGCCCGCCCACGCAACTGCAGGCGGAAGGCATTCGCACCTCGCGGAAGCGCTGCTGAGCCCCCCTCAAGGGCGAGTTGCTGCACAGTTGCATGCTCGACACGCATCTTAAAATAGGCGAGAGTACCCACACTTTACCCCACCACACACAAACCGCCATTGTATCATTTATACTGCTGGTTGCGTGGAGGCGGGGAGGTGGAAGGGGGGCAGGGGGGGAGCAGGCGGAGGGGATTTAAGAAACGCGACAGGAGCTGGGCTTGAACTATGGATTCTTGTGCGCTCACCATTACACCACGAATGTCATAGTTACAGGATCATTATAATGATTACCACGATAATCGCGCGTATTTAGATATGCTCTTGCGGCCGTCTAGAACGCTCTCCTTTCTGATATTAAGAAGCCACTGGAGCTCTGCACTATATCATCAAGATTGAAAACTCACTTCGTTAGAACTGCTTTTAGTCTTCTTGGTTCTTTCGGTAAAGTCACGTAGAAGGGAAATAAAAAATTATAAAAATAAAACATAATAAAATAATTATCACGACGTTTCGGCCACAACGCAAGCAGCCGTCCTCAGGTGAAGACCAGGTCTGTCGGGGAGACAGCGTCAGACGCTGTCTCCCCGTCAGACGCTGTCTCCGCGACAGACGCTGTCTCCCCGACGGACCTGTTCTTCACCTGAGGACGGCTGCTTGCGTTGTGGCCGAAACGTCGTGAGAATTATTTTATTATGTTTTATTTTTATTATTTTATTATTTCCCTTCTACGTGACTTTACTGAGAGAACCAAGAAGATGAATCCCTGCAGTCACGAAAGCTTTAAATCGAAATTTAACTGCTTTTAGTGTTTAGTTTGTCGTCCTTCCCTGGAACATCTGATGAGCACGGTCGGCTACGTACGGTGCGAAAGAAGTTCGATGTACATACGTACATAATACAACGTACGTTTAACATACGTACGCTAACAACCACTAACCGTGGGCGGCGCGGGGGATTTGGTCGACTCCTTGCGGCTGGTCAGGATGACCTCGCCGGAGCGGCCGGTCGTCAGGCCGAACGAGAAACTCTGGGGCCCACGGGGGGGCGGGGTAGGGGGGTCCCCCCCCTCCTCCTCCTCCTGCTCCTCCGCGGTCGCCGAGGGAGAGCCGGAGCTCGCGGCCGCTGGCGCTACGGCGGGGCTGGGGGCGGTCGCCGCCGCGGACGGCGGTGGGGGCCGGGGCGGCGCGCCGGGCGACTCTGGGGGAGAGGCCACCGCCTCGTCGTCCGCAGCTGGAGGCGCGGCGCCTGTGCAGGGAGAGCGACAGCACGACGCTCATCTGGGTTTCATCTCGGGGTGGACGGCCGTGTGTGTTTTTTTGATTCCGACCCACGGGGTGTACCCCGCTGGGCTGCTGGGGCGGCACCCCGTGCGCGACGGACTACGGCCCGAGGAAGGGGATATCGCGAAACTGCTTTTGAGATCCCTTCAAGCGACCGCTGCACAAAAAAAATGTCATTCTACAGGCAAATCAATATTTTGTATTCTCAAGAGCTGGAATAATTAACCCCGACGATGGAGAAAAGGTAAGTTAATGCATTGAATGTTTTGTGCAGTCGTTGGTGGCCAACTCACGACGCTTGTGAGCCCGTCTACATTGGAACCTAAAGTGGATTACGATGCCATGCTTCACAGCTCATTTAATCGTCACAGCCGGACCCACTCACCAGGCCGACCCCCGACCTCCGGGGCCGCGCCATGGGGCCTTGCGGGCGGAGCCGCTTGCGCCTGGGACACGGCCGACGCCACCACCGGCTCCTCCGGGGCCACCTCCTCACGAGCGTGCGCCGGGGCCACCGCTCCCACCGGTGCTGCTGGCGCCTCCCTCGCCTGAGCCTGCGAAGGCCCCGTGCCAAGGCCTTCCCGAGGACGAGCCTGCTGCTGCTGCTGCTTTTGCTGCTGTTGCTGCTGCTGCTGCTGCCCGTCGTCCCCCTGCTGGTCCCACGGGGCTGGCGGCGCCCGCCCGTCGCCCACGGGGGACATCAGAGCCATGGTGTTCTCGGCCTCGTTGAGGACGCGGTTGAAGTCACGCTCGCTGAAGTGGCTCCGGCTGGCTCGTCGCTCCTCCAGCTCGCGCTCCAACTCCTGCAGCAGGCGCACGCGATGCCGTTGGCAATCAGCAGGTGTGTGCGGTTTGTAACTGAACTGAAACGAGATTGTTAAACTGAGCTGTATACATTCTTTTTTAGAAGCGACCTGGCCAAAAATGGCAGCTCAATGAAGTGGCTTATCACGTGAGAAATGTTTAACAGCTAAATACTCGAAACAACTTTGCATTTCCACCTTAAAAAGAGGTAAATTGACAAATTACCCGAGGCTGAGCTCTAGAATACAAGACGGTGCTCCCACCCTCTTGTGGGGCTGGGGACCCTCGCAAATGAAGCCCTGGTCACGAGGCAGAGAGTTTTGTTCAAACCCCATCCCTCCTCCAGAGCCCAGATCCACCTTCGCTCACCAAAGGAACGCGGAATTTCCACCGCCGGCTCGCAACAGCGAGCGTGAGATTAACCGCCGCTGAAAGCGAGAACGAGCAGCACCGCCACTCTCACACGTCACGGCACGCCGGGGGACGCACGTCGAGAGTAACGCTCCTGTTGACGATCTCCAGGGTGGCGGTGGACGTGGCCGTGGCAGCCGTGGCAGCCGTGGCAGCCGTGGCGGCGCCGCTGCCGATGACGTGCGCGGCACCCCCGTCGCGGTGCTGCTTGGGGGTGGGCGGGAGAGGTGGGGGGGGCCCCTCCCTGTGCTGGGCCCCCCGCGACCTCGGAGCCGCCTCCAAGAGCTGCTTGGCGGCCGAGCGGCCCCGTCCGTCGGGCCGATCCCCGCCATGCGGTGGCACCGTGCGTGGCTCCTGCTGCTGCTGCTCCTCCTGCTGCTGCTGCTGCTGCTGCTGCCGGGACGACTTGACCCCGCGAGCTACGCGGCTCACAGGATGCCCCTACACGGCAACCGCCACCATCGTCATCCAGCAACACCTCGTTAATCAACAGCCAATCAAATCCGAGCCGGATTCCGACAAGACACGTCGTATTTGTAGTTGTTAACGCACCACCATTCTACACAGCAGCGTCATAATCACCATCATCACCACCACAACCACCGCCACCACCACACTACTGACGACGGGCAAGAGAGACGTAACCACATCTCACCTCCTTGCTTGCACCACCGGGTGCGGCCGATGTCGCCTCTTGGTTCCGACTTGCCCGGGGAAGCCACGGCGAGTGTGACGGCGGTGGCGGTGACGGCGGTGGCCACGGCGCTGGTGGCGGCAGCGGTTCCTGCAGCGAGGTCCCGGCCCTCGTCGGCCGCCGGTTTGTGGTGACGCGGCACGGCCCGGGGCTGCGGGGACGCAGCGTCGCCCGGCGGCTCCGTGGCGTCCGGCCCACCCTCGGCCCGCACCGGCTCTCGCTCCCAGCGAGGCAGCTCCAGCGAAGAAACAGGGACGCCCTCTGCTACCGCCCTGCCGAGGTAATGACGCGTGAAGCGGCAACGCTCATAATGCACACATGGTCACGCAGGGGCGCGCGTGACGCCACACGCGACGCACGGCACACGCAGTCCGCACGGTGTCGACGTGAGCGATTGCCGATCGCGGTGATGTCACCGCGTAAGGTTTTCACGGTTGCTTGGCAACGGCTCTCCGGCGTGTTTTCGGGTCGTACCACACGATGTCCGACGTTTCGTTTCACGTGATCGGAGCTTCGTCGGGAACCGAATTTAGTTCTTGAACGGAAAATGCACGGTACAATCTAGAGGCACGCCAAAGAGACGGCAGTGATGTGAATGAAAATGCTTGGAGTGCGGGAGAGCGAATGATAAAGCGACTATTTGCGATGGCAGGGACGGCGATGATAAATATGGGGGTCCTGTAGTTTTTAATAACCGGTTGCGTAATTGTAAGTGTCAGGCAGATGTAGTAATCTCAACGACCACTAAACGTTTATGGCAATGGCAATAACGATGAGGGATAGTGGTGATTGACAGTGATGATAACCATGATGAAACTTAATTTGCGAAGACAAAGATGATCAAATCAACAAGCGCAACATCCATGAAAATAACCATCAGCAGTGCCACAACTATTTCCTACGTTTGTTTTTATTAGCAGCCCAAAGAGGCACACGGACAGACTAAATACATAATTACTCGACTCTTAATTGGGCACGAGCAGGCCGAGTCGAAGTGGCAGATGGACGGACAGATAAACAGACAAACGGATAGACCAACGGACAGATGAACAGACAAATGAACGGACAGATGAACCAACAGATGAACAGACAAATGGACAGATTGACAGATGGACAGATGAGCTGACAGATGAATGGACAGATGAACGGACGGACGGACGGATCTGCATTCTGTCCAGCTACAGTCACACCACGAGTGGAAAGAGGCTCTCCTCTCTCTCTCTCTCTCTCCGTCTCACAATGCGAACCTGCGCAGGAGGCCGATGGCTTCGTTGATGGCGTGACACCTGCTGTGCAGCCCCTCCAACTGGTGAGGTTCGTCGTTGAGAAACTTCACGGCTTCCACCTCGGCTCTCAGGAGGCTCCGCAGATGCATCTGGAGCACGGAGAACTGGGCTGCTCGCACACACACGCACACACACACAAACAGAAGGTCCGTGGCGTGGCCTTTAAGAGTCGGATGGGGCTAGTGGCAAGTCCAACATGGCACAAGTTACGGTGGTGTGACCAGTGCCATGTCCAGCAGCCTTTGCCTCCCCACTGTCGATGTCAATACATGGAGTGATACTTTAATGCCGAGTTGACCTGAGTTGATCTGAGTTGAACTAGAGGAGGCCCAAGACTGGATCAGATAGTTAGCCATGGCTGGGAATCGCTGGGTTCATGGTGCAGTATGCGAATCACGATGTGTTTGTTGTTGTGTGTGTGGTGAGTACATCTGTATGTTTCTACGTATGTCTGTGTTCGCGAATTAGGTCTGTGTGCATACATCCGCATGCATGTTGAATTTTTTTCACATGTGTGCGTGTCTGCGTGCGTATCCGGGTGCGTGCATCTGCGTATGTCTCTGTATCTGCGCGCGTATGTGCGCGCGTGCGCGTGTGCATCCCCTGCGGACCTTGCAGCTCGGAGACGCCCTCCCCGACGTGCCGGAGCGCCGCGACGCTCTCGTCCAGCTCGGTGAGCGCCGCTCGGCCGCCGTCGGCGCCGGCGGCGCCGGAGAGCTCCCGCTGCAGCTGCTGCACGCCGCCCTCCAGCTCGCTGGGACGCGGGGCGCAAGCGACACGCAAAGGCAAAGGTCCCCCGCGTTGCCTACGCAGACTCTTTAGGGCGGGCGCCGTCAGCGAGCAAGTATAAATGCCAGCGCCGCGCACGATGGGGCGGTGTTGGCATCGGCACCACGCCCGGCCACCTTTGTCTCCACAGTGCCGACGTTTACGCACCGCACCGTTTAAGGCCGAGTCAACTTGGGGCGCACCCGGGACCGGGAAGGAGGGGGGGGCAGATGTGGTGGGGACGGTGGGCGGCAGGACTGCTTCAGACAAAGCAAGCACACATCTGCAGAGAACTAATGCGAGAAGAATTAGGAGGAATCGATGGGCGAGCCCATGCACCACTACGTTGAGCCACTGCTCTATGCAGAATGGCATTGGAGTGTGTGCCGGTGTGTGTGTCTCATAGAGGGGAGCGGTCGTGTAGCGGTTAGCGCTGCTGCGCTATGAACCTGGCGACCCGAGTTCCATTCCCATTCACGGCCACATACCAGTGACGATTGTCTTCCCTAGGTAGACTCAGCCTCAAATTAGTACTTGGCGCTGCGTGCTGGCTGTGCCGGGCCTCCGTCGGTGCTCGCTAACAGGATTGCCCGAACAGTCGGTTAAATCTTGATTTGAGTCGGTTAAAGGCTATACGGGGGAGCTTTGTCTCATGTACGAAGATGTATGCGAGTGCAAATGAGCGCGCGTGCATGCGCCCATATGCCACCACTCAATCTACATCGCGTTCACTCGTGATCTGCGCTCGCTCGCTCGCGAGAGAGAGGCAACATCTGTTTGACCATGAGGCATTTACGTCGTTAGACAGCTGCACTTCATCACAAGCTGGACACGACATGTACACATTAGTTCCGCGGCGGTTCCGGTAATGAGAAATTATAATTTCTTGCCACACAGCGAATCAAGTTCCTTACATTTACACATAACCTCAAAAACTAAAAAACGTCATCAACAACGCAGCACATTCGCCAACAACACTGTGGCCCGGAAGCGACGCTCGGTCGATTCGTCGATTCAGACGCTCGTCATCGCAGACTCCGCGCGACGAAAATCAGTGGTGGAGTAAAGGAAAACGTCATTCCCTGATGAAGCTCGACGCTCGGGAAAGGTATTCTCCTTTGGTGTCATCCGTACTGTATTCATCACCATCATCGGCCACGGTCAGTCCACTGCTGGACAGAGGCCTCCTCAAGCCTCAAGCAGCCGCTACCAACTCACGGCGCCACGATGCTTCAACGCGCATAGCGGCCGCGCACAGGCAGATTTCATCGCTCCGTCTCCTCCGTGAACGTTCTCCTAGGACGGCCAATTCCCCCCCGCCCACACCCCTCCCTTTGCTGGCGTTCACACAAATGCAATTATCAAATCGTACTGTGCACAATTACGCACGGGGCAGGTCAGCGCAGTGCCCGCGCGGTGAACGCGACTCCATGCATTCCCCCCCTACCCGCCCCCCCGGCGACAGCCACTTTGTATCCCCGCTCGTATTTTAGGGGCCCTGCATTGTGACCAATTTAACGGCACGCCGGCGTGCGCAGCATTTCAAAAGTTCCGAGAGTGGCTTTGCGACCAATTAGGCGGAGGCCGGCAGTAAAAACTGTTCCCGTAAAGTGATGTCCATCGCGAGGGATGGCGAGGATGGAGTCCCTGCGCGGGGATGCGCGCTTCTCTACCCCCCCCCCCCGCTCTCCCCCTCCCCCTCGCCCTCGAGCCCTCCTGCTTCGTATGCCTGCTTGCACTTCACGGTGTGCCGACATCAAGCCAATGCTGCCGAAGGGTAAATCGTGGGATGTGTACAGGAGGCGAAACCGTCTGCTGAATTACTTTGTTCATTACCGTCTCCAGAATGGTGCTAATGGTTACTTTGTGGTTGGTCCATCTCATCTGAATGTTTGTGTATTGCTGCCTATGGCCGCCTCTCACTCTGTTCTTGCGTTTGTCTGTCTGTGTGTCTGTGTGTCTGCGTGTTTGTTTCTACGTCCGTGACCCGCCCCTTCCCCAGCTGACCGCGGCACAGACGAGGGGAGCGGGGGGGGGGTGGGCACGCAACGATGGGGCGCCGTACCTGAGCTGGCGCTGCACGGCGTGCTGGCGCCCCACGAAGTGGGCGCGGCTCTCCTCCAGCTGCTGCCGCTGGAGCCGGGCCTGGGCGCCGTCGTCGTGCTCCGCCGCCGAGCGCCGGGCAGCCTCGGCGGCGCGGCCCAGGACCTGGCGCGCCGTCGCCAGGCTCACAGTCTGCCACGCCAGCTTGTGGCTCATCTGGTGGGAACACGGCACGCACACGTACAAAGATCTACCCCCTCCCCACCGTGTCGCCTGAACAGACTGTTGGGGGCCACGTGCTGTCAGCGAGGAGCGCCTATTAAGGGGTGGCACAGGGCACTACACTGGGTACGGATTTAAGGCTGGGTCTACCTAGGGAAGGGCCAGGACCAGTTCTGACATTACTTTTCACCTGATTTCAGGGTTAGTGCACCAACCGCTCCCCAAACACACGTGTACATATGGCACACACATGCACAAAATATCCCCCCCGTACAGCCTTAATAGACTATTGGGGCAAGTGCTGTTAGCGAGCAGCACCTGTGCCACACGAGGGGGTGGGTGGCCAACACCAGGCCCAACCGCCTTTGTCTCCCAAGTGGCGATGTTTACTACACACCGCGCCAGGTACTCATCACACGCACGCACGCACAGGCATGCCGAGCGAGAGCGCCGCGGGGCTGCTGGCGACACTCTCTCCCAACGCAGCGATGCGTGCGGCCAAGCGGCGTGGAGGTGGAATTGGTTTTGTTAGCGCTCGTCGGCCTCATTTGGTCCGACAGATTCAATTGTGACGGAACTGCGCCTGATGGGGGACCTGCTTGTAAAGTTGAAAACTGGAAACCCCCCTCACCCCCCAACGCCACCGTCCCAGACGCACGGACAACTTGCTTGGACAATCCGAGGTTTTATCTTTTAAAATACAAAAATGCCTATTGCACACAAATATAACAAAGATAAAGACCCCCCCCCCCTCGCCATGTAGCCTTAACAGACTGTTGGAGCAAGTGCTGTTAGCGAGCACCTATGAAGGCCGGCACGGTACAGGAGGGGGTGGGTGGCCAAAACCACGCCCCGCCGCCTTTGTCTCCCTCGTGGCGATGGATACACATCGCCCCAGGTACTGTACTCATTTTAGGCTGAGTCGACCTCGGGGAAGCCCAGTACTATTGAGAAGGGACGGACACGCACACACGGACAAAGATGCACACACCTCAAAACGAGGGTTGCAGTGAGCCCCTTCCTGACAATGAGTATTCCCGGTACATTGCTGCATTCAACATGGGCCTACAATTTGAGAACATTATCCAAACATATACTCAGTTGGAATTAATGTGCACAGGAAAGCACTGTAAGCAGCCACCATCATCTCCTCCTGCCGCAAACACCCTTCTGAAAAAAGAGTCACGGGAATTGGCAACACTTTGCTGGATATAACAAGCGTTGCTATAACAATAAGAATTCGGGTCCGTGAACCCATTAGATTGTTTTAACATCGTCGTGAATGTAGCGGCCACCAGTGGTTGCAGGGGTCACGTGAATGCATCACGCGCTACACGTGTGAATCTGCATGCATCGAATTTTCCCTGCACGCAATTAAAACGCGCGTAGCGCGGGCTTCGGAATCGCTATCAATTGATCAATCAATGCATAATTACACCCCTACCTGAAACTCATTTACAAGCGCACTCCCACGTTGCCATACACAGCCAGATGAGAATTACCACGTGTGCTTATACGCGCACGGGTATCTGGTGGGGGACTTGAAAGAGCATTAGCTGCTCAAGTCCTCCTAAGCAACCGCATTTTATCTCTTGTGATGCTATCAAAGTGTTCACTTATTATATCCAGGCTCTTTAAAACCCCTCAACGTTACAGATGACGTGGGATATAGCTTAGCTGAATGGCCGAATGAACAAAAAAAATACCCTAGTTTTATCTTGTGGACGCAAATAAATGTTCTCCAATTGCAGAAAAATCTAACTCTAAAAGGCCTCCGCTTGGGGGTTAGGAACGTTCTGAAAGAGTTAAACGTTTGAAGCAGTGATGCGGCAAAGGCAGGGAAGGATTTTGCCGATCGAGGCACCCAGCATCAGGCTCTCCGCCGTGCCGTGCCGTGCGGCGTGGCTCAGCTACTGCTTGGGGTTCACGCGATGAAACAAGCCGCCCGAGCCAGCGACAGCAAATTGGGCACGGAAACTGGAATGTCGTAGCCTAACTGGAAAGATGAAGGGTAGCTGTCAACTCCCTCGAAATTGATTTGCTTTAGAGTTTATAAATGTTCTTTACTGTGGGTTTACACAAGCTCTTGACACGAGGCAAGGTCCCTCTCTTGCAAGCGTGACAGGCGGAGAGAACTCCTTCTTCAAGGGCTTGCCAAGTTCTGAGTCAATTATTTGTTTGAGAGCCACGTGACTAAAGCTTCGGGAGCAGCGCAACTTAATGCCGTCCGGTCCGCCGGAGAGCGGGCCCAGCAGAACGACAATGCTGTTTGTTCATGATGTGGTCCATCGTTTTGTTTGGGTGGCCGTCTTCATCGTCTTTAATGTCCCACTCGTGGAAGAGGTTTCGCGCAGCGACCGATCGTCGTTCCGAAGTGGTTGACGGAGCCACCGCAGGGGGTAGAACCGGTCGATTTGGAGTGTTGTTGGGCTTCTCTAGTTGATTAGTTTATTATGTGCAATGTATTTCGATGGGCAGACATTTTTTACAAATTTAACTAGCGACGTCCAGTGATTTTCTGAGGTTTGGTTTTGGCAAATTTTTCTCTTTCAGGAGTCGGTGACCAAGACTGCACCGTGCTGGAATCTCAATTTGGGGCGGTCTGAATGACCTCGGAGAGGTCCGTCGCTCGCTACGTGCCGGCGCGCGCTCGGCTGGGCGAGTGCCACACGCGAGCATCGTGAACATCCCGCCGTCAGGAAAACACACCCCCACCATCCCGAGTTCGGCAGCGTGTGGTGGTCCAGACTTTCTGCATCACCCCAGGGAAGCGGGGGGGGGCACTGTTCTTCTTAACGATTGTGTCATGAGGCCTACTGACGGTTTGGGTTCTCGCAGCAACGATACGTTGGTCTAAAGTGACCGCTGACAAACTTCGTGACTGATGCAGATTCAGGAACAAATCCACGGATGCTTAAGAGATCCTGTATCAGTTGACTACGCGTTAACTGATACAGGACCAATACTCGGTCAATTGTCGTGACATTTTGACGACTTTATGCAGTCTATGTCGGCAACATTTAGTGACATATTTCAAGCTCGCATGGTGACTTCCCGCTCAAAGGAGTTGGCCGTATTGCTTGCCGTGGACTTTCGCAGGCAGTAGTGGAGGGAGGGGGTGGGGGTTGAGATGGTGGGAGAGGGTGCGGGGTGGTAGCGAAGGGCACCCCGAGCCGGCAAACCACGCGACGTGGAATGACCACGGGGGGTCGTGTCTCACAATGCGGCCGCACTTGACACGCGTGCACACAGCTCCATCACCGTCACCCACAATACCACGGGGGTGGGGGTGGGGTACAGGCATCAATAATTAAAAGCGAGGAGAAATGGGGAGAAGGAGGGGTGAGAGGTCAGGACGAGAGCTATGCGGCGGTGGCGGCTGGTGGGGGAAGTTAATGAGTGATGAGCTGCATTGTAAAAAGGCGCCAACGCGGCCCGCAATGCCTGCCGGAGATCAGCCTCCACTGTCTCCCTCCGCGGGCAGGTGGGCAGGCGGGTGGTGGACACATCCGGTCACGATAGACATTCTATAGACGTTCGTTTTGAGTGATACGTGCATGGGAGGGGGGAGCAGTTAGAGAGACCTCTGATCAGGAGGGGCAGCATCTCCCCTCATGGCGGGCGGCTGGATGAAGACGAGAGTGGTCAGCGTGTTTGCCTCAAAACCAAAATTTGCATGCAAGACGACGATTCGCTTGCCCCACAGGCGCCCAGGAATGTCGCTGCATGACCCAAGCATGGCATGGGGGTCTTCTTTCGAAGTGAGCATTAGTCACAACATGCCCTCGTTGCGAAGAGCAGCCCATTGTGTCTGAACCTCAAGTGTCTGAAATTAAATTGTTCAATCAGTAAAGGGAACGTGCATATGTGTACCTATTACTGTATCACGAATGTGACATAGCAATGCTGCACTGCTGGGTCTATGTTCCCCTGCTGCTTGTGCGCACGAAGCCTTCGGGCCTGGCGTGAAGCCTACGTGAACCCCGCAGACCCTCGGCTCCCAGCTGCCTCCTCTCTGCCAGCTCTGGCACTGCCTCAGATGATGCTCGACGACGTGAGATGAAGTCAAACGAGGTGGAAAGTGACGTGGAGGGACCAAAGAGGGCTTTGCGGCAGTGGAGCCTGAGGCCTAAGTCGGGTGAAGCCGAAGGCTCAATCCCACTTCAATATAAATCACGGTGATTGATCACAACTGTCTGCCAACTCCTTCACACAGAAAGTCCTAAAAACGAACATCAAAACGTCTATCCAGTACACAAGGAACATTGGGCCGACATTTGTCCAACGGGTTTCAACTGTATGCCAACGTTGGGCCAACGTCGACATATTTACTGTGGTCAAAAATGTCACCAGACAATTTACCACGGATTACCCATTGTGGCAAATGTGTGGCAGTGTCCTCGATACACGCTTAAATCCGCATCATGTTCTGTTCAAAGAAAGTTGATAGATATGTCGCCCCGTCGCTTTAACAAATTCACGTCGCCAAGGAAACCCGAAAACGTAGCGCGAGAACCTAGGGACAAAAATGGCTCATTTGGCAACGCTTGTGTGATCCGTAGCAACAGATGCCTCCGGCGTCAGTGGCCCGGAATAATTACAGATGCAGAACTCTGTGTGCTCCAAGTGCAAAAAATGTGCACCTGTACACGTGTTAAACTGCACTGTGTAATTGCTTCGTTAAAAAACGAATAACAACCCACGCTGTGCGGCCATCTCAGCGTGTGTGTTTTCGAGAGTGAGTCCGTGTGTATGTGCATGTTGATTATGCAAATTACCAAGAATACTATTGTACCGGTTAAAGTGCACTGGAATCAAAATGATTATTTTCCTTGCCAAGAACAAATGTGTATGGCTGTGAATTCCGGTGCAATTAAGTGGAGGCTGCAATTTCCCTCTAAAGACAAGCGAGTGTGTGGACCGTGAAATAAATTGCGTTAAAAAACTAAGAAAAAAGAGCCTCAACTAAAATCTCCAATGGCATTGTTTGACTTTTAATTAAGTGTTAAGAATGCAGGCCAAGACCACTTATATTAACTGCCCCCACTCCACTCTACCCTCCCTCTCTCTCCCCTCCCCTCCCTTACTCCACACCTCCAGACCGTCTTGCCAGAACACCTGTTCCCTGCAGGGCATGCAGTGGCGGAATCGCACATTCATGCCCAGACACATACACACAAGGATCCCAGACGTCACCTTTAACAAACTGTTCGGAGCTAGGACAGTTGGCGAGCACCTATTTAAGAGACGGTGACGTGGCCAGCACCGTGCCCCGGCCGCATTTTTCCCCAGTGCTCATTGTTTACACGTAACATCAGGTTAGTTCAATTGAAGGCTAATTCGACCTAGGGGAGACCCAGGACCTGTTCTGACATCATGCACCACTGATGTTAGCTATGGTGGGTGCGTGGCACAGGCTACTAACCACAGGACGATGTTAAATAACAATTATTAAGATTATATTTCTCTCAATTACAACGGGGAAAAAATCCTCAGTAATCGTCCACCTTTGCTCAGCATTGCGTGGTCAATAGCTTGGCTTTCTGGGAAATAATTTTCTGACAAAATTATCTAATAACAAAATCACACGTAACAACAATATTAAACGCATCCAGCGATGTTTTACACGTGAGGACAGCTACAGTTTGAGCCAAGAAATGCTCCAATTAACTCATAACAATTAAGGGTTATTGGAATCTATCTTAGAAGACAAAGTGGTTTTCTTTCAAGGCTAGAGGCAGAATATACAGTTTTTTTTTTGGTTCAGAGTCAAGCACAAGAGAGAGAGGCAGCGGGGTTTGGGAGCCACACTTTGTGTTTCCTGTTGGGGACTCTACAGGAGCAAGCTGCGCCTCTGTGGTATTTGGAGAAAATGCCAGCGCGTGCCAACGACCGATGCCAGCGTGCGGTGGTGACTGGTGCCGGCATCTGGCAGGGTGAGCGGTACCAGAACCCCGTAGTTCTCACCACGGTTGGACAAATAAAACTCGACTCGACCCGGTGGCAGCTCACGGCGCAAGTGTGTGGCGGTGTGCACGCGGCCAGCGGTGTGCCACAGTGTGCTGCAGTGTGCTGCCGGCACTCGGCTGTTACGGCATTGGCAGCTGAGTGTTGCTCGGTGGGGACTGGTATTGGCGCACGGAAACGCACCGGTTCTGCTACACGTGTGACGGTGTGTGGTGGTTCCCCTCGGGAGAAGTCTGGGGGCCGCGGTGCTGAAAAGTGCGAGTGGAATGAAAAAAACAAAGCAGCGTGGAGAGGTGCTTGCTGACAATCACACAGAGAGAGAGGGAGGGAGGGGGGATGTGGAGATTACCAAACACGCAGGTAAACGACACCATTTACACTTACCAAAAGTGAGTGGGGATTGGGTGAGACAGTAGCCATCAAACAAAGATAGGGTCACCGCATTTCGCGCTTTCAGATGCGGTTCTGCAGCCGTCTGGAAGCACTTTCAAATCATCATCTCGATTGAGAACTCATTCCTTTAGAACTGCTTTTTGTGTTTAGTTTATTGTCCTTCTTGCACCTCCAATGAGCACGGTTGGCTACGTATAGTGCGAAAGAAGTGCAACGTACGTACACAGGTTGCCAAAAGGGATGATGGCCGACGGTCAAGAATAATGACAGGGTGGCAACGAGGGAATGGAACTCGTTCAAGAGTACATCCCGTGAAGGGAGATGGAGCACCTCGCGCGCGGGCGGGTGGGTGTTAGGCGGATTTTTGTGCCGGAGAAACCGTGAGAGATGTTGGAATCTTGCGGAGGCCTTCATCCAGCGGTCGGGCCCTACAGCGCGTGGCGTCGCCGCGTGGCAGCGCAGGCATGTCGTCAACGCGGCAGTCACCTGCATGTGTCGCAGCTGATTGACGTCCGTGCGGAGCTGTCCCACCGTCTCCTTGAGTCGCCACGCCACCGACCGCAGGGAATCTGGGTCCCGGTCGCCCTCTGCGAAGGTGAGAGATGGAGAACTGAGTGGGAGAGATAGAGAGAGAGTGATGCAAGCCGATAGGAATTTACAAAAACCTCACGCATCCCAGCCATCTCAGCAGCCCTGTCCTCCGTCTTATGGGCAACCTCATTAAAGCTGAGACTTGACCCAAAACGTCTTTTCCATGTTTACGAGATAAAGTATAAAATGTGGACGAATCTCTTTCAAGTCTGGGTTGCTTCAGTTTTATGGAATGCCAGTGTGTCTGTGCAATGACCTTTCACCTTGTAAAATCGAGGTCACTGAACCGGCTGAATGGCTGGCAGGATGACTGGCTTACAGATTGACTGATTTTCTAGCTAGCTGGCTGAATTATGTCAGACTGACTCAGCTCACTGACTGTCTGACTTCTGGCTGGCTGGTTTGCAGGCTCACAGTTTCTATCCTGTTCTTGTGCACGATGGTAACATGTTCACGGAGCAAAATGCCGATGTCGAGGTCTGCTCGCCACTTTGAGAGGGCTTCAGCAGAGAGCTTGTGTAGTTCTGTAACATTTAGGTTGAGAGAATTTCAATATCAGTTCCGGGTGATTAACAAGGACCTATTTGCAGCATTTAGCTCTCCCGATCATATCTGTATACAAATTAACATGTCGCCTTTATAGGATGGTATTAGTTGTGTTTAAGGTGACATAAAAAAACATGAAAAACGTAGCAAGTGGGCCCGCAAGAAGGCTTACCGCCTTGCGAGCCAGCGAGGGGCATGCGATGCCACCGCACTGGGGACACCTGCTCACAATAACAATGACGATCGAGTGACAGTTGCCTGCGATCCTCTGCTGATAACCACCTACGCGAGAGGCGGAGGCTGGATAAGGCAAGTGGTGTGAAGTGAGATTAGAATGGCGGGAACAGGCGGAAGCCTGAGGGATCTGCCTTCACCCCTCCCCATCCCAAGCTGCACCAGGAGCTCTCTGCCAGTGCAGAGCGATCGACCGCAGGGTGAGAGAGATTGCGAGATGGGCAGATTGGGAGATGGAGAGGCAGCTAAGATCAAAGGAGTAGAAGAAAGAATATTGCAGGGAAGAGAAATATTGTGGCAGATAAGGACAACGGGAAAGATTAAGAGCGGAGTTTCGAGATTCGCTGTGGGCGGCTGCCTTGGGGAGGGGGCCGCAGAGGAGGAGAAATAAATACAGAGAGAGAGAGAGCGAGCGATAAGCAGGAGGAAGGAGGGAGATGGAAGGCAGGATGGTTGAGATGCAGGAAGAGAAAAGACAGAGGGAAGAATAGACGTACAGAGGAGACATGAATAGACACGGCTGATGGAGCGAGAAAAGATGACAGGAAATTACAGACATTAAAACGAGAGGGCAACGAATTACTTTAACGGGGCGATACGAGATGAAAAACGAGATAGCCAGAGAGATGAGGTCACAAACGGCGCCGGCAAGAGAAAGAGACTCGGAGCTGGGGGGGGGTCACCCCAGGTGCCCTCTGGTGACACACGGCAAGCGCCGCTTGGCGTCCCATCAAGCACATCCGGGGAAAAAAATTAAACCAAGTAATGAACCAAGTAAAGGAGCCGACGACGACGCCGCCATGGTGCTCTCTCCTCACGGGCGTCAAGGTGGGCCACGGGGAGGCAGCGGAGGGAGACAGAGGGAGACAGAGGGAGACAGAGGGAGACAGAGGGAGGGAGACAGAGGGAGACAGAGGGAGGGAGACAGAGGGAGACAGAGGGAGGGAGACAGAGGGAGACAGAGGGAGGGAGACAGAGGGAGACAGAGGGAGGGAGACAGAGGGAGGGAGACAGAGGGAGGGAGATGGCTGGAGACGGCTGGAGACGGACCGAGACGCGAGGCACGGGGGGGGGGGGGGGGGGCATCATGTTGGGCACATCGCCTCCACCCAGTGGCCTGTGCCACCTCGTGTTCCGAGTGCACGTGTGTGTGTGTGTGTGCTCTTGTGACTAAGTGACGCAATCAGACATTTAGTCGCGTTTCATATAAACCCACCTCCTTTACCACCATCTCCATCCACCTTCTCCCCTGCACCTCCACCCACCTCCTCCCCACACACCTCTTCCCCTCCATCCATCTCCTACCCTCCACCTCGCACCCTAGCCCCATTCCTCAGTAAGGAGTTTGGCGAATTGGGGGGGGGGGGTCAATAAATGATTAAAGCCTTGCCAATATTTTTTCTTGAATCATTGCGCATGGCAAAGAGCCAGGCTCTCCACCGTGGTGCCCGCATGTACGCCGTCCCAGAGCCGGCGCTGTTAAGCCCCAATTCTGTTTGTTGATTAGCGCTAATTGATTTACACATTTTAACAGAGTGCCATTTTCCCTGCCGTCGATTCAAATGCGACGGGGCACGCACACGAGCGCGCCCGCGCCCACAGCAGGCATCGACTGAGCATGCAGAATGGGATTTCATGGACTCTGTGAATTGAATGGTAATGACGATGCGACGGGGCGCGTTCCATCGCGACGCCGACGAATGTGGGGGGGGGGGGGAGGGGACTGTGGGCGGGGCCCGATGTCCAACACGACGTGGGCAAGCCACCTTTACCCCTGCAGTGGATTCAGAGAGGAGATGTTCATTATTTGTGTTGATTGCAATCAAATCGACGAGCGTATTACAAGAGCCTGAATCTGTTCGTAATCAACCGGCGAATCCGCCACGTCGTTACGCAGCGGAGGCACCGAAGCCGAAGGCGCCGCTGACACGATCCAGTGCTCTGTGCGTACCCGAGGAGTCGGTCTGCGTGCAGGCGGAGCTCGTCGGGCGAGTGGGTGCTGGCGTCGCGCTGGAGCCGCCGCCGGCACTGCCGATCCCCGCCGCCCGCAGTCTCGCGTCCTCGGCGCCGCACCGGCTCAGCGCATCCTCCAGCGCCTCCGGACCCATGGTGCGCTGCAACAGCTCCGTCAGCATCGTGACCTTGCGCTCCATACTCTCCATCTTCTCCCTGGGCAGGGTTTCGGGGGCGGTGTCGGTAGTGGGGGAGGGAGAAAAGAATCAAGTGTTGTGGTGGAGGGACGGACCTGAAGATGCTGCGAGTGGCGGGCACCGAGGGAGCCGCCGCGATGTCGGCAGCGAGGGCGGTCGTCACTCCCGGCGGGCAACGTCCGGTTTGGGCTTCGAGCCGGTGACAGTCTTATGCCGTTACTCTCGCTCGCACTCAAACCGGGGAGGTAACCAAGCTGATGGCCGTGGCAAGAGATGGAGCCGCGCTCGCCCTGCCAGGCAGTGTGACAGACAGAGCGGGCACGGCGCGCCACCACAACCCAGACAGTGGGGCGATACATTCCTTCCGCGGCCGTTGCGGGCGTTCTTCGCTGCTGCCACGTGTTCGACGTTACGGCTACGTGACCTCCGGCGCTAGAGGCCGACCGTGCATATCTGGCTCGTCGAAGCGCGTGTTCAGCCGGAGCTGTTGGACCAAACGACAGACGAGCTGAAAGCCGGCTGGGGCTTCAGGGCCGGCCGACTCGCGTAGCAGCAACCGACCGATTGACCGGCTGACGCGGCGGCCAATCCATTTAACTGCGTTAACGCTCTCGGGAGGAGTCGCCGAGCGACCAAGTGGACACGCGAAGCGAGCGTAATCTTCCGCGGCGTGCACCGACACGCATCCAACCCATCTGCTGCCGAGGGGGCGGTGCTCAAGCACCAAATCTCCCCACCCCCCCCCACGCGTCATCCATAATGATCCTTGCAGCGCCGTCCCGTGGGCACGGCCAGATGCCCTCACCCCCGCTGCGTGGATTTACTCAGAGTTCACACGCGCCGCGGGATCGCGACCTTGCAGATGTCAAACCAGGGGATGCGATTATTCACCGTAGCCTGGTGATTCGATGACATTTCGCAAATTTGGGACTGCGATTCTGTTCAAGGTTGGATTCGATAATGTTCCGTTTTAACCGTCGTTTTTGCACTTTTGTGTTATTGAATGAAGAGCGCTATTAGCCCAATGCTACCATAGTATTTTGCATGTGATTTGCATCGTTTGTATATAATCGATTCTCACACACTCGATTCGATGCATGTATTATGACGATCAGAATCGATGCATTATTGCACGCATAGTGAATCGAAATTTGCAAATTGAAATCTCATTCTGCCTGACCTCTGTACGTTCAGAAGATGAAACAGAGTCAAGTCAATCTTTTTCCACGCTCAAATACTTTGGGAGTCGTGCCCATCTCCTTCTGCAACCCAAAGCGTGGTCAGTACGTGCATGGGGGACACTGCCTGAGAAGTCCAGGTGTTGTAGTCTTGGGGCTGCGAGGTAGTCAGGAGATGGTAGCACAGCAAATCATATTATTAGTCAGCGTTACCCCTCCGTATGCATGTTAGGTCTTCTCCGAGCTCTCCTGTATTCTCCCACGTGAAGCCAAACACTCAAAATAGAGTTGGCCAAATATCCCAATGCAGGACCAAACTGCAAAAGAGTGTTTGGGCAACGAGGTTTTCCAGCTTAGCACAAAGGGCATTTCTCTAAACCGGAGAAATCGCGAGCCTAGTCTACAGCGAAATCCACATTTGACCTCACGACCTTCCAATTAAGTCTCCGCTTGTCGAACCGCGGCGCTACCCCAGCCCGGCGCAGAGACGGCAAAAGCTGCCGGGCGCGGTGCTCTCACCGACTGTCGCGGTCGCTGGCGAGCGTCGACGTGCTGTTCCCCGAGGGCGACCGCTCCCAGCGGCCATAGCCCCACGAGTCGCCGCTGGGCGGCGTGGTCGCGGTCGAGCTGGGCGTGGGCGGCCCGCGTTGCAGGGACGCCGCCGCCGCCGCCGCCGGCCCTCGACCCCCATCCACCATCGACCCCCGTCCACCGCCATCCAACTCGATGGGCACCACCGTGTAGCCATGCAGCGAGTGCAACGACGCCGGCGGGGTGCGCGACCTCGCGGGGCCGGGCGACGCGTACGCCAGCACGCCGCCGCCTCCTCCTCCGTCCCGCGCCGAGTCGGAGCGACGCATGCTGCCGGAGCCGCGCGCGTAGCCCTGCTCGTAGTACCCGCCCGTCGCCACCGCCCGCGCCGCCGCCGCCTGGTACTGCTGCTCGCTGGCGTAGCTGGCGTTGGAGGCGAGGCTCTGCCGCGCGCTGCTGCCGACGCTGCCGCCGGCGTCCGCGTAGTAGCCGAGCAGCACGGGGTCGGAGCGCAGGCCCTCGTTGCGCACCAGCACCACGTTGCGGTTGCGCAGGTCCTCGTCCGGGCGCACGTCTCGCCGCTCCAGGATGGCGCCGGGCGACACGGGGGAGGGAGGCGGCGGCGGCTGCTGGAGGTGATGGCGAGGGGCCGGCGACGGGCTGCCCCTGCCCCCGGGGCCCACGCCGGGCGGGCCCGCGTTCCCCCATTCCCAGGTGCCGCCGGGAGGCCCCGGGCTCGGACCGTAGCCCGAGTGGCGCTTGGACGGGGAGGGCAGCGCCGGCGAGGCGTAGCCGGGATTGGCGGCGGCGGGGGTGACGCGCCACAGCGTCTCGTCCTGGAGATCCGCGGCGCAGGCGGTCGGAGGAAAGAACAAGACGGAGAAACGCGCCGAGGTTGGTGGGGGGGTGCGTGGTGGGAGCGCTATCGCGACCCAGCGCTTCGGAGGCCAATGTAGAGTTGTGAAACTTCTCAATGGGGGGCTGCTCGGTGGTTGTGGAATGGCAGTACAGCAAGCGGGATAGTGACGCCGTACGTGCATTATCCCCCCGTGCACATTGTGGGGGGTTTCTTTCCCCGATGCTTTAAAAACAACGAATCGAACACCCACTATGCACGATCTCTCCGAAAAATGGTGACTGCAGCTTAAATGTCGAACATTTAGAACAGGCGATTTGAAATGCAAAACATTACGACGAACTTTTTCGTCGCCCGCGGTTGCAAGAGCTGACGTTGAAGAGAAGTCAGGTGTTTATGGAGAATGTCACGCAAAATGTGTTAACGGCTCTTCTATCGTGCAACGGTTAAGAGCCCGAAATAAATGAAGTGGACTCACGTTCATAATATTCACAAAACGACGTTACATTATCCCCCTTCCTCCTCCCCTTCCCTTCCCCCTCCCCATGCTGCTCCCGATCATCATCCCGACGGTGCTAAGGCTGTGAGGAGCCCAAGTGTGCTTCCAGCGGGTCCCCCCTTGACGCACTGATGACCTGTGTTTCCCCGGGATGTCTGTTTGTCGATATTACCCAAACGTGGCGTGAGAAGGCGCATGTCCCGGGCGGTGCCCTCGTGTTCCAAATCGACGTGGCATCGCGCTTCAATTGCGATCCGCTGATTCACGTCTCCACGTACGGAATGCTGTTTTTTTTTTATTCTCCCAGCTGCCGCGCGCTATTATGCAGAGTAGATTTTAAATTCTATCAACTGCGTTTGAAAAAGAGCAGAACCCGGCGGATTTATTTGTACAACTTTCCTTTGTTGCGTTGTTTTTGTTCTTTCCACAAAGCTGCGCGCGTGGAAATTCAAAACATTGAACGAATAATGGAATGATGATGTTTGGTTGGTCAGGGTATTTTTTCATGTTCATGTCTCAGGAGAGACGGGGTAAGAGACAGCTGATGAATTGAGACAGAAGCGAGAGGGTGAAGGGAGAGAGGGCCGACTGGAGCGGGGGTTTGTGTACACGTGCTCTCATTGCACACGTCTCTCACACGTGTTTACTCATATCCTCCATTCACGTTCAGATTTGGTAATGGCAAATTCACGTGGGTCTCGGAAATAGAAATGTATTCCGTGCACGGGGAGAAACCCAGGCGGAGACGAAGCAGCTGTCATCATCATCATCACGAGTACAAGAAATTAACATTTGATGTGCCCCAAGCTAAGCTTGTAATGATTCAATTCCAAAATAAATTTAACTGATTTCCATTATTTGGAATTGTGATTCATATCCAGAATGTATTACGAATGTTGTCTCCTCTTCATCACTTTTCTCAGTTTCTCATTTCTTATCTCATTCCTCCAGTGTGTTCGCTCCGTTAGCCTGAATGTAACGTTGTACAATCGCGTGGATCACATTTGCAGACAATAATATTGATGATTTAGTACATTTCTTACAAGCGCAATGTTATCACGAAGACGCTCTGTTTCACGGACGTAGCCCGGAGTGGTGTGTCAGCAGCAACCTCTCAACTATACACCGCAGCGTCTCGGAGCGCTTTGCACCTCACATCCTCTCCTCAACACATTTTCAAGGGCGCCCCCCCGTGGTGGCAGCTGTCCCCGTGCAGCGCAAGGTGCCTTGGCACCTGGCCTGCAAACGGGCATGAGCTTGCCGGTCGATGGTGAAGTCGCGAAGAGTAAATCTAAACAGAGTAATTTTGCGGTGAATTTTTTTCCAATTCGAACCATGATGCAGACACACAACGAACTGCTCGTTTGGAAAGATGTCACGGGATTTTTTACGTCCACTACGAAGCAGATGGCACGTATTTTACGGTCAAAACACTACCACAGTATTAGCCAGGGCAGTCTTCCAGATTCGAACCACGAACCTCTGCGACAATCGGCAAATGCGATACCACGGGGCCCATTTCATCACCGCAAGTTACTGGTAAATATAATCAATTCACACACGTGCGACTCGATGCGTGTATTGCGAGTCTGGGGAATTGGTGTTGATTGACGAACCGATGAATCATTACACGCCTGGTGTAGAACATCAGTGATTCGTCGTGTTGTATGCAAAATGCAAATACAAAACATTGTGTCTGCGCAAGGTCAGGTGCAAGACTGAAGCACGATACCAGCAGCTGGTCACACGAAACATCGTGTCCTCTAGTTGGTAATTTACATCCGTGTGAAGTTTAGTCAAATCTCATTGAGCATGTTTGTTCTAGGCAACCAACCAAAGCTCACGAGAATTATACAAAAAAAAGACCCTTTGGTTAAAATCCACCAATACAAGGTGGCCCGGGTAGAAGACAGCACAGCAAGTAGGTCGCTGGCCTATCACAAGGTTTGTGTAAAGTGTTATCCCCTGGAATGCACAGAGGTATTGGGAGCACTCCAATGTCCTCAAACAATGCTCACACACTCGATAAGGCGTTGGGGGTCCAGACATCGCGAGTGGGGAATATTCCTACTCCGAGAGACTTCCTGGGCAATGAATGCACCGTACGGTGCGAAAGAAGTTCAACATACAATGTAGGGCATTCGAATCTCTGCTATTATTATTATTGTTATTGTCGTCAAACGATCCTGTGAAGTGCAAGCATCTCACCCGCATGTCCCCGTTGGAGGGGCGAGGGGCCCCGTAGGCAACCGGCGCTGGCTCCATGAAGACCAGCTTGAGCACCGCCTGATCCCTCACCTCCCTGGGTGGGAGAGGCGGCGGGGGGGGGGGGGACAGACGAGATTGAACGACCACACCCCACGGATTACAACGACTGGCAGATGAACAGAAGACGAGACGAACGGACGGACAATCGCACCGATGAGCAGACAAACAGGACGGGAGCAGACAACTGTGAGTAAGAGCAGAGCGGACGCATGCGGGATGAATCAAGGCAGCCATGCCGACAGTTGGGACCAAGCTGGCAACTCGGCGCACACTGCTGCAGTGGTGCAGGGTGGAGGCCGCGACACGACGAATGGGCCAGGTTAAAGAATCAAAGAAAGAATGAAATCTGAATAGATGATCAGAAACACGTGGCTTGAACAGTTTGAAGGCAGTAGCAGATTCTAGATAGGAAGCTTTTGTGACTGCAAGGATTCATATTCTTAGGTTCTTTCGGTAAAGTCACGTAGGTAAAACATCAAAATTAATAAAAATAAAACAAAAATCACGACGTTTCGGAGGCAACACAAGTCTCCGTCATCAGGTGGGACCGTCACAGCCGGATTAGCTGCATCAAGTGAGGCAATGATTCAAGATGTAATCCCTTAAAAAGCAAGTTGAGGGGGAGGAGAGGGGGGGGGGGAGCTCATCAGAATGTGGTAGCCAATGAATGGAACGTATCGGGCGGGAGGGGGGCGGGGCTCAAAGACGGCACGGAGTGCCAACGTACAACGCATCGGGAGGGGGAGGGGGGGGCGGGGCCAAAAGAATGCACGACGGCGTGGACGCGGTTGCAGTAGCAGATTTATACTAAGGGATGAATCAACTGTGGTACAGAACACAGCACAAGTGGCTGAGTGTGAACTCAGCCCCAGGCCTTCGGTTGAATGGCTCCTAAGCGAGGCATCACCTACAGCTGACAGAGTCGTAACACAGCCCTCATTAATGCTTGAATCCTAAATCAGGAGTCATTAATGGTTTTCCGACTCCCAACCTGAGGCTCATCAGCGGCTTCGTGAGCCCTGCGCCGTCTCCCTCGCGAGAGGACGCCAGGCCGCAGGTGGTTCCAGCTTCGTCTCCGCGGTGATAGCAGCGCCTCACCCGACGATGTCATTGAGCTGGTTGAAGGAGCTTTGCTTGTGGTCGCCCACGAACACGATGGCGTCGGGCGAGGTGAGCAGTGCCATGGTGAGTGCCGTGGGGAAGGCCTTGACGAACAGTGCCCGCACCGTGTCCATCGTCGTCACCGAGTTGGGCATCACCGTCTGCCGCATTTCGCCTACCGTACTGCAGGTACAGCATACCTGGCGGCGGTGGCGGGCGGGAGGGGGGCGGGAGGGGGGGAAGCGTGCGGAGGGAAGGGGAAAATGTCGCACTCGTTAGCCAGGCCTCGCCGCCAAATCGACTGCATTTTTGTCAGATTGTTCGGGCCGATTGAAGAATATTTTCCTTTCCCAAAAGTAGGAAGCCTCTTAAAAGCCAGGCTCAGTGCAATGTGGCTGATGATGCCAATCACGTCACCAAGCCCCGCCCATAACCTCCTGTCCAGTGGCACACGTGGGAACAGAAGTGACGCTTTTATTACAAACTATTTTTAACATTATCCTGTTGGTGGAACAATTGAAGCGATAATCGGTGGAGGAGTAACCAGCCCAGCTTTGGCTGAATCTCATGGTCACACACTCACCGAGCGGCTTGTCCTTGCTCTGATTGGTGGAGCGGATGACAGGAAGTGAGGCACGCTGCTTAGAGCCGCGTGTGAAGCCGCGGGGGCCGTCTGCCTCTGATGTCACTTCCTGGCCGTGCGCCGACGGGTAGGCCCCGTAGTCGGCCATGTCGGGAGAGCCTGCGTACATTACGCCCTAGCACAGCGACGACGACAAAACAAAAAGACACAGAATATCAGATACGCAAACCAAAACAAACAAAACAGGAGCATATCACACACGCAAAATAAAAACAGACAGAAGCATATCACTGCACAACACTAAAAACAAATCAAACAAATTAAACAAACAGCATTGTATTTCAAAGCACGCCGCTAACGGTACACTTGTAGTTCAGAGGAATGCCGGCGCCCCTGTAAACATTCAACATTTGGCCAACGTTGGCATGTGGTTAGAACCATTGGACCGGACATTCAACGTTTACTGGGTCACTCCTTCTAACAAAAAACGAACGAACTCAGCCCTTCTTTAGTGGCGCTTATTGTGGCCGTGTATAAAAGCATGCCACCCACCACCACCACCTCCTCTGTGATTTAATCCACAATTGTACGACAACTGCTGCTGCTGCTACCAGTGTCACTTACAAAGCCAAAACTCTTCCGTGGGATCCCCTCCCCCTCCATCATAGTTATCGCCGAGAGGCAAATCCCTGCAGGAGCCAGCGCTGAAATGAGATACGGCAAGACCCCTTGCCGAGTACCGGGCAAGGAAAGTCTTTTACCTGCTGCGGACAGAGTCATTTCTTTTTCCCTCTTCGCTTGCCTTTTGCCTGGGGATGAAAGTGTCTACCCAGTCCCTGCAATTGCAGTCTTGAATACCGGATCGCGTTCATACATTATCCGACTTGTTTTTTGTTGGTAAAGTATCACCGTACGGATACTTTCCCGGTACGTTGCCTCTATGCAAAGACCGTTTCCTTCATCCCTGCTGAATTTGTGCAAATGCATTACCTGGGATTTCACAGTTGTGCTGTCTGGCTCTCTCCAAACGTGTTTTTGGGTCGCACCGTGTGATTTTCTGGTGCGGTGTTCGACGTTTCGCTCCACGTGCCAGGAACTTGTGCAGGAACGGAATAGCCAAACAGCATCCAGCGCAACCCGACAGCCCATCAGAGAGGTCCATACAAATTCATCTCTAAATTCGAGATGAATTTTCGAGAATTGATTGCATCGACCAAATATTCTCCATTTGTCACTGGTGGCCAAGCAAGGCTGAGCTCATCAACCCGCTCACTCTGGAGGAGGTGATTCTATCTCACTGGAGTCCAGCACAAAGGCGCCACTAGGGCTGGATCGCATTGTCGCCAAGGAGAGACAGGGGAATAACTTTTTTGCCCGAGGCTGACGTTGTAATTATTCATACAATGGATTATGCATGTTCGGAATATTTAAGCAGTTACCTAAACGACTGCAAATTCTCACGGCAAGTATGCACGAGATGGGTGTTCCCTTTTATGCCATGAGAATAACAATAATGCCATTCAAAGCCTCACCGGGTCTCAAGACTATTCCTGTGCATTGGGATGTTTGGCCACTTCTGCTAAAAGAGTGTTTTGTGATGCCAGTTATTCGATTCATTGCAGAACAAGATTGACAACTTGGCTCAACCACAGCCACTGCTGCTGCCTCCATTCCAGCCCGGAATGCCATCGGAGCCAGCTCAGCGCCCTCCAACCCCTGGGCCACCCGGCCACCTCACGAACCGACCTTCGAATCGACGGCCCGACACGTCGCTACGACGTCCCGACCATTCGCCGTACGCTGCCATCGCTCACACCCCCCACCCCACCCCGACCCCCCCGACCTTAGTGGAGCCGACGGGCGCCGGTGCCGTGTGAGAGTGCAGGTGCCGGTAGCTCCCGTACAGGCCCCGCTCGTGGTTCCTGGGCGGTGCGCCGCTGCGCAGGGCGTGCGGCACGGTGGCGGTGAGGCGCGGCGGGCCCGGAGTGCCGCTCGCGTGGCCGACGGCGGCGTCGGCGTCGTTGAGCCGCGCCCCGTCCACCGTGTGTCGCCGGCTCACGGGCCGCTCTAGCCGCGTGCCGCCGCGCTCGCGGCCATTGCGCGGGGCCGCCGACAGCACCTCGTCCCTGGAGAGCAGCAGGGGCCGGCGGAGCACCACGCCTTCTGTGGGACGGTGCGGGGGGAGGAGAGAGCGTGAGAGAGCGTGAGAGGAGAGCCCGGGAGGATGGGAGAGCACGTGTGACGGAGCGAGAGGTGTGCGCCGAGGAGCAGGCGGAGCACGTGGCGTGGATGTCGGACCACGTGGGGGTGCTCGGAAGGGTGCGGGAGATGACGGGGAGTGGGATAATTGTGTGGGAGGATGCAGGGAGGCGTGGACGCAAGTGGGGAGGTGTGACGACAGCGCGTCGGAGGACGTGCGAGCGCGTGGGGGGAGAAGAGGAAGCCGGGAGGGAGTGGAGGAGGAGGAGGCGGCGGCGGCAGACGGTTGGGAAGAAGAGAGATGTGCAGAGTGGCGGTGAGCGCAGCATGGGGTCAGAGAGAGAAGTTTGGTGGTGGGGGAGCAGTGGTTGGGGGGTGCCGGAGGCGGATTCAGTGAAGAGGGAGGGAAGATCGAACATGTCAGGATTCGGCAGCATTCATCAACGCCCGCAAAGTCCACCGTGCACTTTGTGTTAACAAATCAGCAACGCCGCTCCCAAACCGATCGACCGGCTCCGTTGTGGTGCACTTGGCGACTGCCCTCCCAGGTCACCCGTCTCTGACGCGAGACAAACCGCGGCACTTCCGCGCACCGCACAAAACAATGAACCGAACACTCACATCACCGATTTAAAGCTTTCGTGACTGCAGGGAATCATCTTCTTGGTTCTTTCGGTAAAGTGTATTATTTTATTATGTTTTATTTTTACTATTTTATTATCTCCCTTCTACGTGACTTTACCGAAAAAACCAAGAACACTCACATCACCGTCTGCTGATGGTATTTTATCTGTAATCAGGTGAAAGGCAACATGTATAGACAAACACAAAGATCATCCCCCGCCCCCACCCCCCCATAGCTTTAACAGACTGTTGGGGCAAGTGCTGTTAGCAAGCACCTATGAAGGCCGGAACGGTGGGTGGCCAGCACCACGCTCGACCGCCTTCATCTCCCCAGTGGCGATTGCTTATCCACCACACCAGGTACCTATTTTAGGCTGAGCCGACCTAGGGGAGGCCCAGGACCGGTTCAGATATTCATCACCGATGTTGGCCGTCAACAGGTCTGCAACCCGGGTCGCCTGGTTCGTAGCGCAACGTGCTAACCGCCACACTACTGCTCCCCGATACATATATACCAATACCTGCCATTCGCCAATCAGTGACGGTCACGTCACCACGGCGCCTGTGCCAGGCCAGGTGCACTTTGAGGCCACGTCAAGTGTCGAAGGCTCGCCTGACAGGAGGAGGTCTCGGTACAGATCCAGGTGCCGTGGGTTGACTGACTGAGATGACTGGTAGATGCACCAGCTGTACCCGCTATTGTGCCAAATATACCTATATACACACTAACACATTGACACACACTGACACGCACAGACACGCACAGACACGCACCGACACGCACCGACACACACTGATACACACTGACACACACTGATACACACTGACACACACTGACACGCACTGACACACACTGACACACACGGACACACACTGACACACACGGACACGCACACACGTTGCACTGTGAATGTACTAAGCACTTCAGCAAAGTCCCTGTTTGCTGCACGCCCGGTAAAACCAGTCAGTCGCGTTCGCACGAGGCAGCGAGGCACGTCACACAGAGCCAGACACGTTCCTCGCGCAGTCCAATCAGCAACGGGCTCATTCCATCGTTTGTTTCTTGGATTTTCTTGGCGAAGGTCATAAAAAGACGACACGCGACAACGTGAACATGGCGCCTTTCACATCTTCACCACGTGTCCGATTCGAGCTTTGGTATGTTTATAGGCAAAGGCGAATATCTCCCAAACAGCCTTTTGACAGACTGTTGAGGCAGTACTGCGAGCGAGTAGAGGCACCTGTGAAGGCCGGCACGACACACGAGGGATTAAGGGGGCCAAAAGTCACGCCCGTCCACCTTTGTCTCCCCAGTGGCGATGCTTGCACATCAGCAGCAGGTAATCATTTGACGCCGGGTCGACCTAAGAGAGACCCAGGAGCGTTTCAGATCATTAGCACGGGTGCTGGTGGCCGTGAGCGGTGCGCTAACCACTACACCACCGCTCCCCAGGAGGGTAGATACGTGTTAAAATGTTTATCTCCATTTATGATTCCTTTTCCATGGCCCGTAGGAAGGACGAAGGACCCCCCTGACTAGCGGTGCGGCTTGATTGGCCAAAGCGGCCGGGGGGTCGAGCCAGGTGCCGGCTGCCCCCCCCCACGCCCGCCCCAAGGAGGAGCACGGCAGATTGCATCACCCACAGCTCGCGACGACGCCGATCGGGAAGCCGACGTCGCGTGCGAGGGGAGTGGGGGTTGTGTCAGTACCACTCGGGGTGGTAAATGCTACCACGGTATCCCACCGTGAGCAGAAAGCTTGGTGATACGTAACCGTCTGGTTTATGGACGCACTTAAATAGTTGTTTTCAAATTCCGTGGCGACCTCACACGTGTTTCCTTCCCCCGCACCTCCGATTAGCACGGTTGGCTACGTACTGTTGCGAAAGAAGTTTAACCATACATATATATCACGATTAGTTTGTTTTTCTTAATTAAAAATGCATATATATTTTTTTACACTATGGGGACCTCATTTGCCAGTAAAAATATGATAAAAATATGATAAAGAACCAGATAGAAGGGTAAAGAACCAATTATCATATATTTTTTTGTTTCAACAATAAAACTGCAATTCCCTTCTTTCACAAACATTTTCCCACAAAGAGTCACCAACCACGGCACCATTGCCATCCTATGTGTCTGCAATCTGCATTTGCCACCCTGGATGGTACACGATGAGAAATGTTTGGGCCAATGGCTCAAGGAACGAGGAGACGCACGGTGGCCTGGGGGTGGGGGGGGGGAATGAGAACCAAGACGGGCCCACACGAGACCCGACATCGTTCGCGTCACTCAAATCTGCCCGCCGCTCACTCGTGATTCCGACGCGTCAGGCTGCACCGCGCCACTGCGACGAGCCGGAGAGCGACGTCCGCTCAGAGGCGGTTCGGCGAGCATCCGCTCGTCCGCTCGCGCGGCGTCACGGCACTCGCGCCTGTCAGCCCCGTCAGCTCCGTCAGCTCCGACATCTCCCACATCTCCCTACACCCCCCCACCACCCCACTGCCACTTCCCATCGCACATTCAGTCCTGTGAGCGTGATTTAACCGAGCGAGTACCTAACGAGGTGGCCATTATCGCTTCTGCAAGGACGATTTGGCAAATGTGCTTGCGCGGACGTTTGCCATTTGTTTTTCGACTCGGCGATTTCATGCAAAGCGGCCCAGCGGTTTGCACGGTGACCGTCCGAGCGGCACTTTCCAAACCACTCCGTGTGCTCCTCCTCCTCATCCTCTCGTAAGCACCCACTTAGCACTCTGCCGGGCTGCACCGTGCAGCGCACGTGAAGTGAATTTGTCCCTTTCTCTCCTGTCATCGTCCAATGCCGAATGAACGCCTCCCTCAACCAGCCGTCGCGGCCGCCTCTCGCGATGCCAGCGCTCCATCTCCCTAGTGGACCTCCACTCGGGGGCGCCCCATTCCTCGGCTGACACCCCGTTCATTATTCCTGACCATCGGCCACCGTCCCGTCTTGGAGCACGTGTCCTCCCGCAGCAGGGCCACTGCCGTATCTTAGCACGTCGGATGACGTCTCTCAACGCGGGCCTGTAAAATGCCTTTGCGACATCACCAGGCACCAGACGCGCACGGCGAACCTCGCACCGCCGCGCCGATCTGCCCGCATTCCCGGCGAAGCGTTGCAAATCGTCCGTCCATCCATCAGCGTCGGCTCTGGGTTCGGAGGTCGACGCACACCGCATGCCAGCGCTTCCTCTCGGCGAAAATGTCTCGCCACTGTCCCCGTGCGGAGTGATTGTGTCCACTCTTTAATGTCACGCCCCCCCCACCACGTCCGTCTTTGTCTTCCTCAATGTTTTAGCTAAACACTTAACTAATAAGCAGGAGCTGATAATAGCCAGCAAAAAACCACGTCGCGGCACGGCCACCGCTCCCAAAAAGGCACGGCTGCTAAAATATTGATCGCAACGTTCGAGAGCTAATTACAACGTCGGGGAGATAAACGTACGTCCAAGTTGGCGCGAGGTCGCTGCCGGCATATTTTCCAAACGAAACGCCGTGCGTTACCCTCGTCGGTTACAGGAGGCGACGTGAGCTGGAGACAGCCACGGTTTGTGTGCAGTTTGCACGCTTGCCAAACTTCAGCCCCTATTCCGTAATTTATGTCGATCTGGGAAAATTAAATTCGCAGAGATAATTATGTTTCAGCGAGGAGCGTGACGTGCTCCCTACGAAGTTTGAGAATGCGACGGTTGAAAGTTTATCACAGTGGCTCGTACGAACAATTGTATTTTCCTTTGTAAAAAATAATAATAATAGTATTCGCATAAGTCACTTCAATACTGAAATATAACCTTCTAATTAAATGAGGCCCCCTATCCCTCTACCCTCTCTACGTCCGTGCAATGAAGAACGGCCATTGCCAAAAAAACGTCGCCTGTTTTTTAGATCCATTTGAAAGTCGCTGACGTGTCGAGTTTCGCTCGTCGTTGATTGCGATCGTTGCATCGCCGGCCACGTGGCGGCAATAGACGCTGTCGAGCCTGAACGTCCCATCAACTGCGAGCCCCTCGAGGTGTCGTCACGGCTTCCAAAAAAGCGCAGTTTTCGCGACTCACCCCCGCTCCGCCTCCCTGTGTTGACCGATCAACTCCGTTAACATACAGATCAAGTCGTCACGTACCGCACACGCCTGATGATTGCTGCGCGCGCCCCCCATGGATGCAGAGAACGTGCGGTTAAAGCTTCAGGTAGAGGTGTGTACGTGTGTGTGTGCACGTTTGTGTTTCTATGCGATCAGTGGGCGAGCGGTAGTGCAGCGGTTTACTCACTGCGCTACGAACCCAGTGGCCCGAGTTCGATTACTGCTCACGGCCAAC